ATTTGGATTTCCATGGGGTGTCGGCCAAGTTCGCCATATATCATGAAATCGGGGGTTGAATCTTTTAAATGGAGTAGAAGTTTACAAAATTTTAGGTGAACCCTTTCTATTATTGCATTATTTGAAAATCCCCAAACTTCACATCCATATAACAAAATAGGTTGCACAATTTTATCAAATAGATCTAGTTGACACTGTATTGATAGGTTATGTAATCTTCCTTTTTTTAATACTTCGTATAATGCTTTTGTTGCCTTTTCAGCTATCTTCTTTTTTGCCGTTATAAAAGAGCCAGATTTACATAATATAACTCCCAAATAGTTAAATTCTGTTACTACATCTATTTTCTTATCATCATACTGCATCTGTATATTTTCTTCACGTCTACTTTTACTGAATATTAATATTTTCGATTTGTCGATATTTATCTTTAAATTCCATTTTTTACAATATATACAGAAGCTATCTAGTTGTTTTCGTAGCTCTTCAGAAGATTCTGCAACCAATACAGTGTCATCTGTGTATAAGATTGCAAATAATTTTAAAAATATATTAAGTTTGTTTTCAAACATCTCTGATATAGTTGATAAACCTTCGATATTGGATGCATTCAGGAAATCGTGTAAATCGTTTAGATACATAGAAAATAAAAACGATGACATATTTTCACCCTGTCTAACACCATTTGCACATTGAAAAAAATCTGACTGTTCTTCATTATAGACAATTCTGGATTTTATCTGACTGTACATATTCAAAATAATGTCATACATTTTGCCGTTAATATTGTGAGATAAAAGTTTAAACCACAATGCTTTCCTCCATACGTTATCAAAAGCTTTCTCAAAATCTACAAACAAACAAAATAGTTTTTTCTTTTTTGTTTTAAGAAGCTCGAATAAAATATGTATTGAGAATAAATTATCAATTGTTGAATAACCCTTCCTAAAGCCTGTTTGATTTTCATGTATTACTTTAAACTCATCAGAAAATATATTTAGTCGCTCATTAAGAATCGATGTGAAAAGTTTTCCAACGCAACTTAGAATTGTAATTGGTCTGTAATTTTGTGGCTTACTTTTTTCGCCTTTGTTTTTATATATTGGTATAATATTTCCTTCTAACCAAGAAGAGGGAATATTACCTGATGAAAAAATTAAATTAAATAATTTTTCATAAATTGGCAGCATCATGTTCTGCGTTGCTTTAATATATTCATTTCTTATACCATCTTCTCCACTCGATTTACTATTTTTTAGTTTTTCTATAGCTTTTTTAATTTCATCCTGATTTATATACTTGTTAAGTTCTTGGTTAAGATCTATGGACTGTAAGCTAGAGATATCATTATCAACTATTTGATTAATTTCTTCATCTATTTCCGGAGCTTTATTTAAATCTTTAAAATATTTATATAGTGTATCTATGTCTATTGGTGTATTTTCTTCGTGTTTATTTCTTTTTTTATAATTATTAATTATTTTCCAATATTCTTTGGGGTTCTTATTTTTTATTTCTTTTAAATGTTTACTAAAATTGTTTCTATATTTTATCTGTTCTTTATCTATGACTTTTTTATATTTCTTTTCATTTTCTTTATATTTTTTATGTGCATTTTCTGTACGTTTTCTAAAATAATAAACTTTGCTATTCCTGTATTTTTTTCGGGCTTTATCGCAAGCTTTTGTAAACCAAGGTTTAGAGTTCTTTGAATTTTTATTTATTTGTTTCTTTCCTTTACCGTTACTGACACCTATAGAAATTTTTGCTGCATCTATGTATATCTTATTTAATTTTTCCACAATTTCATTAATTACACCGTCCGTAGCGTTTTCTAACTTGTTTAAATCTAACATTGCTACAACTTCATTTAGTTGATCAGTATCAATAGACTGTACATATACATGTTCCCTAGAAGGATCCCATGGTTTGATTTTTTCTACACATTCCGTTGTATTTGAACAATTCATACTGAAATCATTTTTTTGTAGTTTTAAATACAAAGCAATAGGTTTATGAACATCAGAAAATAATTTGTTTTGTTCAAGAACTTGCATATTCATGATATACTTATGAAGAAAATAATCACAAAGAAAATAGTCTACAGTGCTCGAACCTTTACACGTTACCTCTCCTAATGAGTTATCGCCAATACGTCCGTTTACAATTAACAACTTATTTAATTTGCACATTTCCAATAAAAGTTTACCATATGAGTTTTGAATTTTGTCTTCGTTGTTTCTTTCTAACACATCGTCTATAAGGAAATTTTCATCTTTCATGGTTTCAAAGATTTCACTAAATTGTTCATTTTTTTATTATCAACGTTGAAAATTTCTATATCTGTTCCAGTTCGAGCATTGAAGTCACCTGCTAACATAACATATTTGTCACTATGTGCTAATTCTTGCATCTCTATTTCAATTGTACTAAATAAATCCTTACTACCATATTTTGAATTTTCTGGAGGTATATATATATTTCCGATAAGTAGATTTTTTTCAAAAAGCGTATATTTTTTTGAGATTTCTAGCCACAGTACAGCTTTACATTCTGTTTCATGGATATTAATAAAGTTTTTTAATTCATTCTTATATGCTAATATTATACCTCCAGAGTTCACTCTACCATATTTAATTCTATTTTTCATCTTTATTTCAAACCCATCGATTTCAATTATATCTAAGTCATCTGTTTTTGTTTCTTGGAAACACAATATATCATATTGACTCACTAGCTCTTGAAACTCGGGATAGTTTAATTTTTTCTTTATACCGCAACAGTTTAATGAGAGAATTTTTAATTCATTCCTTTTCTGCGCGCAGTTTCTCACGTTTGGTACATGTTCACACTCCCCGGAGAGTCCCTAGTGTTTTTCTGGGGTGGAGTTGATTCTCCTGCGTTTGTTCGACGAACTGCCGTATCTGCTAGGGGTGCGTTGTGGGTAATTCGGTGTCTCAGCTGGTCCTGAGTCCTCTGGGTCATATGGCCTTCCGTTCACGTATAAGATGTCCCTGACCAGTTTCACAGTTTCACCCTTGCGTCGTAGCTCCTTCATAATGGGATAGAGGCTTTTCCTTGCTTGCTCGATCTCGTCCGGAAATTGGCGATTTATTTGGAAGGGTTTCCCTTTCAATTTGTTTGCCCATTGGAGTACGTAGTCGAGGTCACGTTGATAAATGAACTTTGCGACAATTGGTCGATTTCTTTTGTTGTTTTTCTGCCCAAATCTATGTACAACAGTGAATTCGATGTCATAATCAATTTCAAGCTCTTCAGCTAAAAAACCTCGTAATGTCTCCTCTGTGTTCTCTGGTACATTCTCGTGGATACCTGAGAAAATCAAGTTATATTTCATGGATCTGCATCTGAGATCGAGTATTTGATCCGTTAGCTCTTCATTTTTTTCGATTAACTCCTCAATTTCTTTCTCTCTGTTAGACGCATAGTGTACAACTTTCGCCTCCATAGCGTCTAGCTTTATTTTCATATTTTGAAATTCATTTTCTGATTTGACCACTTGCTCTTTTATCCCGTCAAAAACATTACTTATTCCCTGTAAGCTTTCATGAAACTCTGCGTTTGTTTGGTTTATAGAACTTATTTCTCTTTCAATGGAATTTACTCTGTGAGAAAGCCTCACCATTTCTTCACACATTTCGTCGATTTTCTTATTTCTTGTATCGATAATTGAGCTCATTTTGTTAAGCCGATCATCTAAGGAGATACCCATATTTCTCACAAGCTCATATAATTTCTCTAAAGTAATTTCCTTTTCTTTCGAATCTTCACTTTCATAAAGTACGGCCCTAGCCTCTCCTAATATACTCACAGTTTTTGCTTCGGTCGACATTGTTGTTTACTAGTAGGAATGTTTGCTATAAATAGACGCTCCTGACTTGTAGAACGAGTTTTCTCAGCCCTATCGAACACGTACACTTCTTTATTATCTTTGTTTACAGTAATGCACGTTACATTTTTTACCAAACGGGAGTCAGTGTGATCTATTAATACTATAAATGCGATTAGAATACCTCTTTTCTTCGTTCTCTTGTCACAATACGCTAATTTAGCTCATAATTTCTCTCTTCTTTTTTAGTCCACCTTTCACGTTCACGCATGCGCTGACAATCATCAGCGTTTTCCATATGAAAAATATGAAGGCGGCTTTGAGGGATGTGAGCATATTCTTGTTTTAATTTTACTAATACAGGTTGTGTCTCTCACGTCTGTAGAAAGGGAATTCCAGGAATTAATTGCAGTGGGTACAAAAGGTTTTTTTAAAAAGAAATAAAAAAATAAAAACGCATTACGTCCCGATTCTTGATCTTGGTGAGCATAAAAATTCAACCCAAAAATGCAATGAAATATTTATACATGAAGATAATTACAAAGATCTTTTAAACTTTTGTGTCTTTGTCTTTACTCAGTGAACATCAGATCATTGCAAAACTTATCTTTCATTGTTTCATAAACGATGTTTCCGTCATTTGATTTCAAATAATAAACAAAATAAATTCCAATTCCTCATAGATTTTAGCAAGAGTTTAATGTACCTTAAGTAAATCGAAGCAGATAAAATATTTATATATTCAGTTTTGAAATATTTCTCACAATTAAGAATGCAATTAAATCAAACAATGAAATAATGTACCATGATATCCTCTTTATAACCTATTTGTTAAGGCAGATGAGTAAACAGTTCTTGTCGATCCTAGTTAGTCTTCATAATTAAGCCTTTCATTGAATGCAAATAGGTGAGAGCAATGCTGGGGAATATATTACTTTTCTGTTGTTTTCGTTCTATTCTGGCTACGTGTAACTTGATAAATTATACCGAAAATGCTTCTTACAAGGATAAATATTTAAAAGGTGAAAATCTTGGCATCTACAACAAGAGTTCCAAGACTCTTTGTGGGGCCATGTGCCTAGGGTCATGTCAGTATTTCGGTTTCAATAGCGTTACTAAAACATGCATTCTGTTTTCCCATCTCAATGGTATGGTAGAAGAAGACGAGTCTGGATGGAGAATATACCAAGGTTTGTTTTCTGCTTCTTTAGTTAGTATAAATCTTTTAATCATTATAATTACTGCCTACAAAACTTATTTTTCATATTACATCATATACTGTACATGTATTTTATTGTTTCTTTGGGTGTGTTATCGATAATATACATGTAAAAGATGAAAAAATTAAAACAAAAAATATTTCGAGTAAAAAAAAGTTGAACAGACTCAGTAAGCATACGAACTGAAATAATAATGATATCGCAATCAAATTTCTAAGTAAACAAATCTGGGAATTTTTCATTGATTTTTTGTTTGTTTTAGAATTATATTGTTCAAGAAAACTGCCAATGGTCAATAGAATACGTTACAAATATGAGATTTTAAATACATGAATGTACTTGGCTTACTTACATGTATGTGATCCAAAGTATATAAGCATTCAAAAGTTAAATATTTTCACTACAAGTATTCTTTATTCCCTGCTCGAACTGCGAACAGTTTTCTGTCGTTGGTTCAATTTTTTTTTTTTTTTTGAATATCCGTACATGCACATGTCCTGATAAAAAAAATTCAAATGCACGATTGACTGAAATGAACATGTGAAGAAGCAGCAAATCAAAGGGTCTCACTTAAAAAGAAGACTTTTAGAAAACCCTTAAATTAAGATGAATCTTGTACAAAGGTCTCAAAATCAACCTAAATTCCATGATTTGACTGTCAAATTTGGAAAGAAGACACGTCTAGGAATGACCAAATAGGGTTTAGAATATGTCAAGAGAAAATGGTGGAGTTCATATAATAATGTTATAACGGACTCGTAGTATAGTTGCTGGATAATACTAGTATTCAGAATCCCATAAATTGTCCTTCATATTTGAATAGAGAGTTTTGAATTGACTGTAAACCGTCAAAAGAAAAATTTCAATATCGAACATCTGTTTAGCTAGCCTGTTAAAAAATGGTGATAGTGCATGTAATACTGATATGAGAAAATAGTTCAGGGGGCTGGATAATATTCAAGATCCCATGTCTTGACCGTCCTTTTTAGAAAGGAAAAGCGTCTGAAAAGAAATGCTTAGCTGAAGTAATTAAATAGTTAACTTTACAAGACTCAGCTGTTGCTTTTGATGGTCAACCAGTCCGTTCTAAAATGATGGACGTCTAAATAGGGTCCTGAATGTACGAGTATTCTCTTGTTGTATATATTCCTTTTCATGGCATTATTTACATTTTTGCCACTTTAGCCGGGCTAGCCATAAGAGTAAGGGGCTCATTGTCTATTTATGCGCGTGAGCGTGTATCTGTTAACATGTGTTTCAAATTTTAAATCACCTAATTTCTTTTGTAGTTAAACATATCACATTTTCGGGAAATTTTGGCTTTTCTTAATTTTAGCTTTTCATATTAATATAAATCGTGTTTTCTTTCAACCAGTGAAACTCGGACAATGCTCTTTGATACCGACCCGTAACGTAGGTTCGGTCGATTTTTTTTATTTCCGTATGAAAAACAAAATACAGAAAGCAGTTATCAATACAATACTGTAACTCTATTGAAATAGATACATATTAATAATAATAATCTATTTTCTGAGGTCACTCAAAACCTTTGAATGTCGATCTCTTGTGTTATTTCTGGGTATAATACCTATTCCGCCAACCTTATAAAGATTAATTAATTTAATTTATACAACACGCATTCTTCATGTTTCCTTATATACTGAAATTAATTTATCCAAATTCAAAAGGTTGGAATAACAAAAGTAAGTGATTTTACAATAAATCATTGATTTTGTTTCTTCTCTTTTCTCTTTCAAAAATATTTAGAGTTTGCATTTTCTATGGTATCATTTTCTCTCACATTGCTTTTGAACACCTCTTGCATGCTTTGTTTGTTGGGTACTACATGTACGTCAAAAAAATTGTGTTGAATTTAGAATTTTTCATATCATAATTTTGGTATTATCAGAGTTGTACTTTTGTGTGTGTGTATGTCTGTAACTGTTGTTTATCTGTTTTTATATTTGCATCTTCACACATCTATTTCACTACTATCACATACTCTTGTCTCCCCTTCCCAGGGGAGACCTATAAATTTATTAACTGTTTTTTGTGTAACATGTGTAGTACACACTTTTTATTCAAACGTTTTCCATTCCACCCAACATTTATCTTCTTAAGCTAAAATTTTTGTAAAATGTTTGGGAAAACATTGCTTTGAATATGTCAATTTCAAGTGTTAAAATATCTTAGTAATAATATTAGTAAGTAAAACTTAGTAAACAAGCCAAGAATTGAAAAACCTAAACTTCAAAGATATCTTAGACAAAGTAATTTTCTTCAGATGTCCGACTTGCTGGGAACCCTCTGTTTGGTGACTGTACTGCTGGGAGACTGGAGGTTCTTCACGGAGGGGTGTGGGGCGCGGTCTGTGATGATATACTCGACAACAAAGTGGCTCAAGTCGTCTGTCGCTCCTTGGGATATCCATGGTACAGTAGAATATGTATCGCTGAAGTCTTTTTTTTTTCTTTCTGGTATTTTTTCTAGATTGTCTCACTTTAACAGACACAAGAAAAAACTATTGATGAAATGTTCTCTTCTCATGGAAATCCTTTTAAAATATTTTTTCTCACAGTTATTCAAGTTCTTGTGACAGTCTTTAATGTTCATTATGTTTATGGTTATATAGGAACCTCGTTCAAGATTAGTTAACCAAACCCAGTGTTGAATACTATTCAATTATAATTCGTTTTTAAAAACAAATTTTAAACATCCCTTTACCTATGCCACTTCCTGTAGATTAAATAACAGGGGAGGGGGGGGGCTTGGAGAAAACGTTCCTGAGAGCTCGCCCAAATTCCTTATATCTCCAATACAAATGATCTCGACCTGCTATCTTATGTTGTAGGTCGGAAGCTATCGTCATCCCTACAGAAATCGTACCCAAAGGTTCTGGCTCTATCCATCTTGAAAACGTAGACTGCATTGGCAACGAAAATTCGATATTTGAATGTTCTAGCTTAGGATTAGGGAATTCTGGCTGTACACACAATGAAGACGGTGGTATCTGGTGTGGTGCGTCAATATTATTTCCTTGTTAATTAAAACTGAATATATATTGACACTAACTACAAGTACATTAATTAATCCATTTTACTGTGAATCTGTGGTTCCATTACTAATAAAACAGATATAGCAGTTTAATTTTTATGTTATTTAATTTAAATCCCCTAGCATTTTCTCAAGTCAATATTGATAATAATTCCAAGACCAAATCTTGGGCAGTTTAATGATTTCTGTGTTGCAAAAATTATGCTTATCTAATTAAAAAAAAACAAAAAATAAACAACTGACATTTTGAATAGAAAGGGAAATACTGAATTCCCTTTTCCATGAAACATATGGAGATAACGTCCAGTATTGATGATCAAAGTCTATAAAATAATACAAAGTCGGATCAGTGCAAACACGGACCTCCAAAATATCGGAGGCGGATCAGGTGCCATGGAGGATTGAGCATAACCTGTCGATCGGTCACATCCGCCGTGTGCTCATTGTCATGATCGGGAAATAACGAAAAAATCCGTCGTCAATTCAGTGTATAAATAGTGGACCAACAATAAGTATGAAAAACATAATTTAGCATATGACATAATTATAAATTTTATTTGCTGACCAGATTATTGTATCATAGAACTTACGAAATGATGACTAAAAACGAGAATGCTGATATTCTTGTTTCATCAACTTGTTTGTCAATAATTTAGTTCGTTTTCGAAATCGTTCATACTAGAGCATGCTCTTGCATCAAATGAGATATATAAACTCCGTATACAGGTGATGAAGGTTTATTGCTGCATAAGGTAACGGAAGTTAACGATAGAAAAGTGAAAGTTATCACGTTTATCAAAGAGCTTGATTGTTAGATTACCATTAACGTCTTTTTCATGTAAAATATCCAAACATAAAACAGATATGTCACACTTTGTGGTATCTTTTAACTCAAACTCACCAGGATATATCGTTTTCGACAGCAGAATGAAAATTACCATTGTTAATTATTAATACGTCAGCGGTATATCTAAATGTCGAGTTGAAGGCTTCAGAAAGTGTTTTCTTCTTTTCACTTATAAAATTTTGCGCAAATTCTGCTTCATACGAATGCAAAAATAGGTCTGCTAACAGAGTTTTGAGAATCACAAACTTTTACAGTTCATATATGAAGATTAACTTGATAAAGGAGAGTAAATCTTTTCTAGTGGTCAAAGGGCTGGAGTTAAGAGTAGGCTGGTCGTTCTCTTCAAGGGCAACTTATTTGTGCTTTGAATAACCCAGTTAATCAGTTGGATATTTTCATTTAATAAATGATGAGCTATTATGTTTGAGGACCGAGTGTAAAAGGTTTATATATAAAAACCAGTGCTCCAAGCAAAAGTTCAAAGCATCATTTTGATGATATTTTCCAGAAAATTCATCTTTTTGAAAAAGAAAACAATAATTACAAGAAAAAAATATTAATAAAAGATATATATATATATATATATATATATATATATATATATATATATATATATATATATATATATATATATATATATAACAATAAAACAGTAGAAATTTATTCACAAAAATTATATATTTTTATTTTTTTCAACATTTTTTTAACATATGTTAAAGAAGAGTATTTCCTATAATATTGCTTTAGATACTAAGTTTGCCATCCGGCTGGCTGATGGGAATGCCACAAGCGGCCGTGTCGAAGTATCCGTGGGCGGACTCTGGGGTGTGGTTTGTTATGACGTGGGACACTGGTTTAACAAGGACTGGGACGAAAATGCTGCAGAAGTCGCGTGTAGGATGTTGGGATATGACGGGTATACATTTTTTGTCCCTTAAAGCTATTATTACTTGGTGATAAATGACTCACTATTTGATTGATTAATTAGTTGATTGATTGATTGATTTATTAATTTATTGATTGGTTGATTAACATGATTAAGGGGCTCTTTTCCTTTTGACATTTTCATTCAGCATTATAGAAAAGACTGCTGTACATATCCATGATATCTTTTTTTTGGAAAATTAATCTTCACAAAGAAGGGGACGTTTAAGAACCTGGTTGCACCATTTTACAGCGGAATTCATTCAAACCATAGAAGGGATCATGATTTTGTTCTGGATCCTTTCATTTGTATACAAGCATAGCAAAGCTTTGCAAGATTCTAATCCAATAAAACTACAAGTCCACACATACATATGATTAAAATGATATGAAATGGAGTTTTTTTTTCAGACGATCCCAAGCTGTAAGAGGGGAAACATATACCACGGGGCATGGTTTAATATGGATGAACAGTGTGAACTGTCAGGGATCGGAGACGTCACTGGCTCACTGTCACCACTACGGAATCGAAACAGCCACCTGCAATACCGTAGCCAGAGTCCACTGCAACCTGGGCCTATGACCATAAACTGAAATCAGTCAACATTTCAAACCATTAGTATTTTTTGAAATAATTTTAAAATTGAACTAATTTTTTCATTATTCGTTTGAATTTAAACGTTATGCACAATAGCAACACGAATAAAAACTTTTGAAAATAATTTTGATAATAATGATATATTTTTTCATCATTTGTTTGAATTTAAAAGTTATGCACAAAAGCATATTAATTGTAAGCAAACATGTTAAATAAAATTCGAGATGGTAAAACTCAAAGTTTTGATGTGAGTCTGTTCTCAGTGTATGGCATTTGGGCCTGAGTTATTAATTAGCAAAAAGAAAATACCGAAACCCGACTATGAGAACATACTCAGGTCAAAACTTATCTTGAAATCATTTTGATAATCAAACTATTTTTTAATATTTTCACAGTGCGTTTGTTTTTGATTTTCATACAAATCTTCAAGTTTTTTGCATGCAATTCTATGGATGAAAATCTTTTTTTTCCCCAAAAAATATCTTAAATTATTACTGTTGTTTAGGCTTTATATCAGAAAAAAATGTACATTTTAGTACTCTTGTCAATATTTTGAAAATAACAATTTGTCAAAGAATATCTCATAATGATGTTTATAAATTGACTTTTGAATAAATATTAAACAATTGAATTAGATTCTATTGAATAAAATTACAATCCAGTAGTGTATTGTAATTCCATTCATTATTTATATATATATATATAACATACTCAGTATAGTTTTGTACCATATTGCCAACGGCTTCTTCAAGAAAAATAACTCGAAAATGACCCTATGTTTGCATTGGTCATTTACAAACTTACTCTGTTAAAGCCATTCTGATTCTATTCATAAGTTCATTAAAGTTTATATGAACAAAGTTTGGAGTTCCTCATTACAATCTGCTAGAATTCCCATGGATATACTGTCTGTTGTCTTCAGTAGGATATTTTGATATATTGATTCTTTCACAATGAGCAATTTTTCAATAGGCGTCATATTTTCATATTATAAATTCTGTGTAAGATTATATCAGGCCCTAGGTCAAAATGAAAAAGAAGACATTGTCAGAAGGGATAAAATGTATTAAAAATGAAATGTGTTAATCTTTTCTTCTATGTTTAATAATTCGGAATGGAACAAGGTTATTATAAAGAACCTGATCAGTACACAGTACTGGTCCCAGCTGATAAAGAGGACAACATTGTCTTCGCTCATAAGGCTCATTATCTTAAGGAGGAATTCTTCAAAATCAGATACCAGTTTTGAATATTTTTAGTATTCCAAATAATCGAAATGAATTTGAATACCATATCTATACTCAATTTGGATGACCATATCTTTACAGGATATCTAAATATCATAAAAAAAATCTTACAAAATGCTAGTACATAGCCAGCTCCAGTATAGTTTACCAAGCCTCTTTCTCAGAGTCTACTTTTCACTAAAATATTAGCAACAGTGAAGGAAAAAATTCAATAGTACTTGCAACAATATACATGTACATGTATTCAAAATATTTTGTAAATTAGACGTGGATACTTATATTTTCAAGGAACTCTTAGAAATTTTAGATTTGAGAAGTTGACATCAAAGAGATGCTTGAGTTTTTGATGGACAACATCTATGTAGTTTTTGGAGACAAAGTCTTCCAACAATCTATTGGAATCCCAATGGGTATCAATTGCGCCCCTTTATTAGCAGACCTATTTTTGTATTCATATGAAGCAGAATTTGTCAAAAATCATATACGTGAAAAGAAGAAAACACTTGCTATGGCCTTCAATTCGACATTTAGATATATCGACGACGTATTGTCAGTTAATAATAGTAATTCTTATTCTAATGTCGATACGATATATCCCTTTGAGCTTGAGATAAAAGAAACCACAGAGTTTGACAAATCTGTTTCATATTTGGAAATTTTACTTGAAAAAGACGTAAATGGTAATCTATCAACCAAACTCTAAGATAAACCTGATGACTTTAATTTTTCAATTGTCAACTTCACTTACTTATGCAGCAATATACCTTCATCGCCTGCATACGGAGTTTAAATGTCTCAGTTGATTCGATAAGCAAGAGCATGCTCTACGTATGTAGATTTTCTAAAACGAGGTAAATTATTGACAAACAAGTTGATGAAACAAAAATATCAACACTCTCTTTTACAGTCTTCATTTCAGAAGTTCAAATGGTCGATACAATGACCGTGTCAGCAAATACAATTTATCATTGAGTCAAATGCTGAGTGACGTTTCTCAAACTAATTGTTAGTCTATGATTTACACACTGAATTGACTACGGATTTTTCCGTAATTTCCCGATCATGACAAGGAGCAAATACTGGGTGTGACCGGTCGGCAAGGGATGCTCACTCCTCCAATGCACTGATCCCACCTCGGAGGTCCGTGTTTGCTCTGCTCCTATTTTTTTTAATTGTTGAATGGACTTTTGAGCTTGAATTCTGTTCGTTATATCCATACATTTATCACAAAATTTTACAAAATTCAGTCTCTTGTCATTGCTTATTTGCAAAAAAGATTTTATTAAAAAAATATTCGCAATGTACAAACAATAACTCTGAAGTTAATATAAAAAGATGCTTAATTTTCTCACTGGCAACATGTATAAGGTGGTTTTGGGGAACAATGTCTTCCAACAAGATGTAGGAATTCTTATGAGTACCTACTGCGCCCGTAACTAATTAACAGAGTTAATTATTTTCGTATTTATATACAGCATTGAATGTATTCAAAATCTTATACATGTATACCAGAGGGAAAAAACACTTGTGACTTTCAAGTCTGTCACTGTCACTTTTTCAATCTGAAATGAAAGACAGCAAATTCATTTAGACATGGAACGTATAACAGGTTGAATGTATTTTTTGATCAGTTTCTTCAAATTAGCCAATTGTTTAACAAAGGAGAAATTAAACCATTTTGTTTGCTCAAAGCATATTTTATTGACATTGTGTCTTCATTATATAGGACTCGAGTTTTAAAAGCCTCTGATCAAAAATATTCCGATGAACTTAATTGTAAATGTAACAGATTCCACATTTTAATTTTTTAGATCAACAAAGTAACAATAAATCTTTTTTTGAATGCATTTGCTTTGGATAAAGTAATGAAATATCAATACATTTCTTAACAAAAAATAATTTATATTTTGTGAGGTTCATGTTTCGGGCATTTGAGTACACGTACACGTAATAAAACATAAAGCGTAAAATATTTATTCATAAGATTAACTTTAAATAGTTCAGTGATGAAATTCTTACTTTCTCTGTTGTCCAAGGTTATGAAGGGCTTGTGGGTACTTCGATTACAACAGTGCTTACAAGAACAACATGTACACTATATTTATTTATTGTTTTGAGACCTGTATGATACAACGAAGGATGCAGAGGATGGTGAAAAAGATACACTTTTTTCTACATTTGTTTAATTTATTTCTTGGATCGAATAAACTAAATATATTTGTATTAAATTAAAATATTTCATGAAGTTAATAATTGAAAGTTTTTTTTCAACTTTGTAGCTATTTGCACTTAAAATAAACAAAAATATTCAAAAATACACACTTTCAGTGTAAATCCATACATGTATGTTACTTCTCACACAAAAATATATATAACTGCACTTGAGAAATGAAATTTCTTCATGAAGTTTATTATAAATATTTAATAAGCAAATAGTTTTGCAGAGCATGCGAACTTGAAATAAAAAAGTAAATGTTAAAGAAATGCATCCAAAATGATCGAGAATTCGAAGATATCATTTGTATTGTGAATAAAATGTCTGCAAAAAGCATGCATTTGGCGTCAAACTTTTATTTCTCTATGCAGTGTATAATAACTCCAATATAATTATTTGCAAGTCATGTATAAAATAAAAATTTAATTTTGATTGCAAAGAAAGTGAATTGTATTTCTCTTTAATTTAAAAAAATAAAACAATCCATGAAAGTGGACAAAATTAAAATTGAGATACTGTTCCACCTTTTCTGTGTTTCAAAATTAATTTTTTAAGTCATTAAAAATATTATGAGCCACAATTTTACCATCAATATATTATTTTATTACTTGATTATATAAAGAATGTATCTTAATTTGCCTATTTAACATTTTTTTTCTTTAAAAAAATAATTCTGAGACTGACAATGTTTTTAATTCTAAAAAATCGGAACGAGCCAAATTTCTCTAGGTCTACATGATCTGTGATGAAAGTTCTGTCAATTGTCGCAGAGGAATACAGATCATGGCACGCTGTTGTGTCTAACGATCTGTTGACAGTGATGTATTCATGTCCTGCAAATTATCTCTTCTTCAAGTCTTCATTGTATTCTGGTGTTCACAAAGTAATTATCGGTTAATTATGTAGGCGACCAGTTAATTATGTCATGATCTGGCCCAAGCTAAAATAAAATCTCATCGTGTATATAAAGTTTTCCAGGTCAATATCCAATCACTCTTCATGAATCATCTATACTTTGAAACATGCAGAATTTAACTAGCCAATTCCTGGTCGCTGAGAGTAAAGCCGAGCGAGCTTTGGAGCATATAATGCTCCTAAAAGGACGCCTTCATATTCTGAAAGCTGGCAAAGTAGCAGGTCCAACATCAAGAAATAACAACTCCATGGCAGCACAACTAAGACAGACGGAAGAATTGCTGGTGCGTTATAATGAGTACTACCTGGTTAAAAAGAAGGAAGCCGAAGAATTCCTGAACCAAATTCATGGCGAAAATTGATTACTGATCGGACAACAAATCGGTCTGAAAGTCGATTGAGACCATTCCTGAACCCTACAGGTCAACTCGGATTGCCCCAAGTCCGGACGGGAGGAAGATGCATCGCTGAGAAAATAAAAGTACCAAACGGCTCTTTTCAGAGCCACTTAAATTTTTAGAAAAGATGCCTTCATTGCAGTACAAAACTGTTTGTCTAATCTGAGACAAATAGAGAGAAGGGGAAGGGGGTGGGGTTCCTAAAGTCTTTGAAAGTTTTCTATGTTGCTTGTCAAAAAGGATCAATTGTGTTTGCTTATTTAAAATCGGCAGAGGAAAAGTGAATTCAAATTAATTCTTTGTATTGAAAAATTAATTAAAACGAGAACATACATGTATAGCCCACATGTTACTTTATTCCGGAAAAAGTTGTTTTGCATTGACACTCTACAAATATGTAGCAGTAGATATTTCCGATATATTTTCTGTGCAGAAAAATATGCAACGGGCTGTTTTACTAAACACTTTTCTTCTACAAGGATCGATAGCACGCCTCAAAGACAATGGATTATCCATAGTATATTCTTGTAAAGGAATTATATTCGTTCAAAGACGCGGTTACAAGAAAAAATGGGTAGGCCTAATGATCTGCATATCCTGTACATGTGATGTCTGACAAATTAAGTGACATGTTGTCATGCTTCTGAATGTTCATGTTTATATGAGCATATCTTGTTAATGTTATTAAATTATTTTATTATTTTTGTATGCTACTTGAAGGCAATGAAAATAATACTTTTATATTTATTTTTATTTTACAGGCCAAAAATGAGGGGAGTAAAGCATATACAGAACATGCATTGATTCACATGGAAACATTCTACAAACCTGTCTTCAAAGAATTGTGGCCATCCATAAGGATTTCTCTTTTGACATCATCGAAGTACTGTGCATTGCTAAATAACTATAACAGTCAAAGGAACTCTGTAGAAAATGTTCTGAAAAATTTAGGAGCATATGATGCAATGGAAGAGGCAACTGTAGCTCACTCAGAATTCTTAAAGAAAGACAAACAGCAAGGAATTGTTGAAAACAGTTCTTTACCACTTGAGACATTTTTAGATTTTCCTGAAAGAATTTCAAAGAAAGAATTAGAAGACAGCAAAGATTGTCTATCTAATTCAGAAGAAGAAGAGGAGGAGGAAATTGAATCCATTGTAGGGAAAAACACCAGTTTGTATGACTTTATTCCTACAAAGAGGGTGTACTCAGAAAAAGAAATATTACACAAACAGATAGCAGACACATCAACTTTTGATGAAGGCTTGTATGAAGTTCCAGTAAAAGTTATTCAAGAGCAAACCCCAGGTCTACCAAACCAAATGAAATTCTTTGTGTTTGACAAAGGGGATGTGTCTAACTTTCCTTCTCCTAAAATGAAACGTGGAAATGTGTTAGGTCAGCAATGGTAGAATATAAAGCAAGAAACTTACATGTAAAAAATCTTTAGCAAATCACTTCATAAAAAATCTAAAGCAAATCACTTCAAGAATTTTATGATTAGGCTTAAAAAAAAAAAAGTTTGTTTCCTGTAACATTCCCAAAAAAATCAAGGGTCGGTAGGTCGGGAATTCTTTTTTTTTTTTTTTTTTTTTGCTTATGAATGGTCAAACATCCCCGGACCGAAAATACCAGGTGTTATATTTACAGTGGACATCCAATATGGCATCCAAAATGGCTGCCAAGCGGCAGAAAACAAACTTCAGAAAGTTGTAGGGGGAAACTGTTGTTACAATAATGATTACTCTTTATATTTAAGGTAAATGTACACTAAGTTGACATATTTTATGTCTCAAATTAAGCTACAAGCTGTTTTTTTAAATTTAATAAATGGAATCAGCTGATTGATCAAACGAAGTTTTGCTATTTGTCAGAAAAAAAAATCCACCCGGGGATAATTTGAATGGGTCGGTCGTGTTACAGGAAACAAACATATTTTTTTTTTAGGCCTTACTATTAATTATTATTAATGTTTAATTTACAGGACAAGGTATAAGCAGAAATTGTTTATGAAATTCTTAATGTCTTGTAGGGTACTACTTGATGGATGCTGCCTCTTTACTTCCAGTCATTGCGCTGGACATTCAGGAGGGGGACTCTGTCCTTGACCTTTGTGCAGCTCCTGGGGGGAAATCTCTGGCTATACTACAGACTCTACAGACAGGTACATGAGCACAGTTTTACAAAAATAACCTCGGTAATGGATAGAATGTAAAACAAGTTTAAAACAAGTTAATATGCTCTTTTGGTAAGGTTCACTTATTTGTTATGCCTGTTTTCCTAAATTCCATGTTTGTAATGAGAATTTATTCAAATGAAGGTCACCAAACTGTTCAATTATTGACTTTAATTAATTTTCCCTCAAGAGATATCAAGTTTTGATTATTTTTATGCCCTCCTTCATAGAAGGGAGGGCATATTGCTTTGTTGCTGTCTGTCGGTCGTTTGGTATGTCTGTCAGTCGTTTGGTATGTCTGTCGGTCTACCAAGTTTCTGTTCATTTTCTTCGCAGTGGTTGCACATACTGAAATGAAATTTGGTATACAGATTTTTCATTAGAATATGTAGGTCAAATTCTGTTTTGGAAGCGATTGAATCATTTTTAGCTCACCTCAACGAAGTTGGGGGAGCTTATGTAATACCCTCGGCATCGGCGTCGGTGTCGGGCCGGGTTAAGGTTAAGTTTTTTGGAGCAGTTTTCTTTTTACGTACTTCTATGTCCTATATTGATTAGATACTCATGGAAGATGTTTCTAGTGTGTTTCATTGTACCAGTCAAAGTTTCAGATGCTGCAATTTCGGCAAAGGAATGACCAGGTTAATGTTTTTGGAGCAGGTTAACATTTTTGGTGCAGTTTTTGGTGTAGGTTTCATTTCCGAGTAACTGTGATCCTATGTTGACCAAACTTGCATGGATGGTACATCTTAAGATGCACACTACCAGGCTTGCTTCGGATGCTGAATCTGACCTACATTTTCCGCATGAGTGAACAGGTTTATGTTTTCAGTGCAGGTCTCATTTCCAAGTAATTATGAGTACTATAGTGACCAAACTTGCATGGATGATACATCTAAGGATGCATACTACCAGACTTGCTTCAGATGCTGAATCTGACCTAAATTTTCTGCAAGAGTGAACAGGTTAAAGTTTTTGGTGCAGGTTTCATTTCAAAGATACTATGAGCCATATAATGACCAAACTTGCATGGATGGTACATCTTAGGATGCATACTACCAGATTTGCTTTGGATGCTGAATCTGACCTACATTTTCCAGTTGAGTGAACAGGTTAAAGTTTTGGTGTAGGTTTCATATCCAAGTTACTATGAGTCATATAATGACCAAGCTTGCATGGATGGTACATCTTAGGATGCATACTACCAGACTTGTTTTGGATGCTGAATCTGACCTACATTTTCCTGTTGAGTGAAAAGGTTAAAGTTTTTGGTGCAGGTTTCATTTCCAAGGTACTATGAGCCCTATAATGACCAAACTATAATGACCAAACTTGCTTGGATGATACATCTTAGGATGCATACTACCAGACTTGCTTCGGATGCTGAATCTGACCTACATTTTCTAGATGATTGAACAGGTTAACCGTTAAAGTTTTTGGTGCAGGTTTCATTTCCAAGTTACTATGAGCCATATAACGACCAAACTTGCATGGATAATACATCTTAGTATGCATACTACCAGACTTGCTTCGGATGCTGAATCTGGCCTACATTTTCTGGATGAGTGAACAGGTTAAAGTTTTTGGTGCAGGTTTCATTTCCAAGGTACTATGAGCCCTATAATGACTAAACTTGCATGGATGATACATCTTAGGATGCATACTACCAGACTTGCTTCGGATGCTGAATCTGATTTACATTTTCTGGACGAGTGAACAGGTTAAAGTTTTTGGTGCAGGATTCATTTCCAAGTAACTTTGGCCCTATAATGACCAAACTTGCATGGATGGTACATATAAGGGTGCATTCTACTAGGCTGGCTTCGGATGCTGAATCTGACCTACATTTTCTGGATTAGTGAAAAGGTTAGTTTTTTTATACAGGTTTCATTTCCAAGTAACTTTGAGCTCTATGTTGAGCAAACTTGCATGGATGATACATCTTAGGATGCACACTAATGGCTTTGCTTTAGATGCTGAATTCGATTTACATTTTCCAGATAATAGACCTCGTAAAAGTTATGGATGTGTGTCTATTACCAAGAAACTATAAGGCTTACAAAAAATGATGCATCAAGGGATAAAACCTCTCAAACTTGCTTCAGATGCTGGATTTTAATTAAGTTTTCATGATGAAGAACTAGTTTGAAGTTTTTATATAGGTCTTTTCCAAAGTATCAAATCAAAATTGCATAAATTTTGCATTTTTGGATGTACACTTTTTATTGGTTAATTGTGTAACTTTGCCTTACTTAAAAGACAACATTCGTTGAGGTGAGCTCTGTAATCTCTGATTACCTATGTTTGACAGAGTTATGCCCTTTGGACGTAGAAAAATTCCAATTATTTGCAGTTTCCGTTCATTTTCTTTGCAGAAGTTGAAAAAACTGAATGAATTGAAATTTGATACACAGATTTACCATAAAGTTATATAGGTCAAATTTTGTTTTGGGCACAATCAAGCTATATTTGACAGAGTTATGCCCCTTAGACTTAGATACGGATTATTTGCAGTTTTGGTTCATTTTCTTATCAGAAGTCGCACCTACTGAAATGAAATTTGGTATACAGATTTTTCATGAGAATATCTAGGTCAACCTCTGTTTTGGTAACGGTTGAGCCATATTTGACAGAATTATGCCCCTTGGACTTAGAAAAATTCCAAGTATTTGCAGTTTCTGTTCATTTTCCTTGCAGAGGTTACACCATAACTTCTGAAATGAACTTTGTTATATAGATTTTTCTTGGACCTAGAAAAATTCCAATTATTGGGGGGAAGGGGGGCATATGTGTTACACAAACATCTCTTGTTAATTATAAGAATTAAAATAGACCCTTTTCCTATGACATATTTTCTCTAGGAGTTATTCCCCTTAGCCGCCATATTGTAGGGAACATTCCCTGATCCCTTCATTATTCAACCAAGTTCAATTTGTTATACTGGTTACTGAGGTAAAGATAATGTTATTTTTCTTATGAATATACGTTTGTTAAAGCCTCTATTAATTCATGATTATAAAATTGTGAATATTTTCTCTCATATATTTCTTGCATGCATGTTTAAAATTGGTTGCTCAAAGAGGTATATTCACTACTTTGCCCTACAAGATAGCGGCTAAGGGGAATAACTCCTAGGCAAAATATGTCACAGGAAAAGGATCTATAACTTAGACGAAGAAGAAATAAATCTATGCCAATTTTAGTTTTCTCCATCAAAATAGACTTCATTGTAGTATGGTTTTGTTTCTTTATTATCTATTTTTTCAGTTTTTTATTGTTTTGTTCACAACTGAACATAATATTTTACAGAGAACCTGACATGTAATGATGAATCCTACAGTAGACTTGGCAGACTTAGAGATATACTGCATTGGTATGTTGGCAGTGTCCCACCCTCAGTGACAATTTCAAAGAAAGATGGCAGATTCTTCAGAGAGCCTCTGTATGATAAGGTGTGTTCCTATGTATCCTAGCAGCACTGCATCAAAGAGAGACACAAATAGAAGCATTACCGGTAATATTAGGGAGAATCCATTAAAGTTGAGTCTCTTTTATCACAATGCTTGTGTTGTTCCCAAGAGGATTGTCTTGATTAATTTATGTAACTGATACTCTCTTGGTATATCTAAATATAATTTTTTTTCCCAAAAATGCACCAGGCCATATTGTACATCACTGTCTTGCTATTCTTTGCTATATATACTGAGTGTTGTCTTATTGTACATATCTGACATTTCAGATCTTGGTAGATGTACCCTGTAATACAGACAGACATGTCTTGATCAGTGAGGATAACAATCTGTTCAAACCAGGTCGTATGGAGGAGAGATTGGCACTACCCACAGAACAAAAGGAACTGCTGGTGTAGGTTCCTATATTTGAACATTTTTTTTTGTTTAAATATAGGTGAAAGTTTTTTTTTTAATTTTTAGAATAATTCACATATGTATTTTATATATTTAATTTCTGGTGTGAAATTTTGAAAAATGGGTTATAATTCAAATCTTAATTTACAATATTTTAAAATTTTACTTTCCAGATCAGGAGTTCAATCTTGTAGGCCAGGTGGAACAGTTGTATACTCAACGTGTACCCTCTCCCCAGCTCAGAATGACGGGGTCATACAAGCCACAATGGAGTATTTATGGAAGGAGACGGACATTGATGCAGTTGTGGTAGACATGAGCTACATCAGGCCAATATTCAAGAACATTTTTTCATTCTTTCCACGGACAAAGTATGGACAATTAATTATTCCTACCCTGTCCTCCAATTTTGGACCCATGTATATTTGCAAAATAAAACGTTTAAAATAGTGTCTTGTTCATGATTTGCATTCATTTAAGATTCAATGCAAGAGTTAATGCCGTTTTGCAATTTCTACAATAGGAAATTAATGCTATCAAGCATAAAATTATATCATCATTTCCTAGCTATGATGTCGAGTGCTGTCAATACCAGACAGACACCAGACAAAAGCTCGAATGAGCCTTCGGCTCAGGTGAACTAAAAATGGATACAATTTAAATTCAACAACAGTTTATTTCATCCTGGTCAGCATGTCAAAGGTTGATCTTTACCAATATATACGTATCTAGGACAAATTATATAATTATATTCAATGATAAATATTCAAAGCACATGCTTTATTAAATTTACTGGTACAACTTCCTTCCAGGGATAAAATAAAACACTACCTAAACATGCAATTGTATAAAAATTATTGTTTCTTTTAAATTGCGGAGAAAATTGTTCCTCATAAATAAATATCAATTATAAATGTAAATTATATATAAGATTAGCAATACGTTAGTTAAATTTATATGCATCATCAGCAGATGTAATCACCAAATAAGACAACCATGCACAGCATTCCCTGTGAATAAGTTATATCACATGAAGCATTTTAAAATCTGTCATCATACTCCATAGTAAAACCTCCAATTTCTAGACAGAAAGAAACGTCGTATCAATAGCATGGCAATGGCCAGTCCAATAAGGAATATCATCACAGTGGAGAAACTTAGTCCGGATTGTCTCTGGTGATGTTCCCTCAGCTCAGCACTCTGTCCCACTCTCCCCGCCGGTACTGCTGGCCTGGGACTATCGCCCACCAACCTCTGTCTCAGTCCCTCATCTGACCTTTGACCTGTTGACTCCAGAGCTGCACTGCTTGCTTCAGGTGATAATAAAGGTGTGGACTCGAAATTCGAACTGGCCTCTGATGAGGGACTTTGAGGTTCTTGAATAAAATTTTCTTGTCCTTGAGAAGCGGCCTCATTTGAGGTGTCTCTGTCATTTGAAACATTGTCTTCTGTGGTTAATGATGAACTTTTATTTGCACTTTGAGATGAGTTTTGAGTACTGGCAGCTGTTGGCATCTGAGACTTCACCGATTGAGAATCGGCCTGAGTTTTGTCCTGTGGAGATGGAGGCTGTCCTGCCCGTATGTCAGATGGGATTCCTTGTGATGGGAGATTCATGGCTGGCTGTGTTGGTAAAGAAGAAGTCATCTGCCCAGGAAAGACCATTGAAGGAAGGACTGGGGGTCTACTCATCATAAAAGGATTCATCTGCCATTGCTGCATATATACATTCTGTGAACTATTTTGTTGACCTGGAGGAAGCATTCCTGGTATAAATGGAGGGGGTAAAGGAAACCGGGGGACATTGACACTTCCATCAATTCCTTGTGGCATCTGGAAAGGAGGCATATTGGGCATGCACATGAAAGGAGAGGGAAATGGAAATCCATTACTAAATGCTGGGTTTGTGGTGTTAGCTGGCATTTGAGGAATTGCTTGTTGTTGTTCACTAGGCTGAGGTGTAGGAGTTGTCTCACCACTGCTTCCACTTTTTCCCTCACCAGGTTTTTTCTCTGCCTAAAAGATGTAAACTATAATATTAAATCTGAATTCTTTAGATTTTTCTGGAGATTGGACATTCATCTTTTTTCACTTTGATTTCTATGGCCAGTTGTTTACCATTCATGGAAATGACTAGAAACTCTCTGTATATTTAAGTGACTAACTGATTCTTTTACATACCTGGAAGTTAATCTGACTGGCCAGTTCCTTGGCCTCTTGTGATGTCCTTTTAGATTCCTCTGTTTCTTCAGTCATTGGCTTTAATATACAATTAATGTTACCACACGTAGAACACTTCCATTCTTTGCTCCTACAGAATTAGAAATATCAAGTTTAAAACTTATTTTTGTTTGATCTCTAAAAAGATCAAACAACGAACAGCTTTCAGTTTTACAAGAATTATTTCCCTGTGCGGAGTCAATCTAGGGTCAACTGGCATACAACATAACTTTTCCTCTTTAACATTACCAATTTTATGGGGCAAAGTCTTACAAATGAAATCTGTATGAATGGATTCATTTATATGCTTTTTATGTTGCCCCATACCATGACAAGCATTATGCCAATTACGGAAGATATTAAACTCCTATGAATGTGAATTTTTTTTTTCTCAAAATTTCAAATCTCCTTGTTCTGAGTTTTACCTGTTGGCGAGTTTCTTCCTCTCCTCTGGTGAGTAGTCCAGGGATCCTATAGCCCCCGCACCATGTGTAGGCATGAACCCGATAATGGCCAAAAGGGCTGTCCTGACTAGAAGTAAAAGGTTCCATAAATATAACTTTATGTGTCAACAAGGTTCTCTTTCCCATTTTTTAATACAATGTATATAAAATTACACTTTTTTAAAAAGAAGATGAAATTAAAAAAAGGACAAGTGAATAGAGAAATAAATATTTTTCATCTCCTAAGTGAAGAATGGTACACTGTGCATGTACGAGGGTTGATCCAAAAGTTCGTGGAATTTTTTTCTAAAATCTTATCGTGATTTGATAAAAGGAAACAACAGGCATATTCATAATATAGAGTCATAATGCAATAATATTTGAAACTTTCGTCAATTTCCAGTTACCAATGAGGCCACACGAGCTTTCTGAAAATGGATAGTTGTGGAACCCGGGGGAGACTTTGATGTAACGTCAAGTTAGATATGTCACGTCATGTTATAAAAGCAACTGGTCCTAATGTCCAATTTGAATATGTAATTCTACAAAATGCTGTCCTTGTCTCCTTTTTTTCTCAAGAAAAACCCATGTATCTTCTCGCACTAGCTTATCTTCATTTTTCACTCATATTTTAAAAATACTCCCATCTGTCCATATGATAGTCAATTTCAGTAGCAATGTCGAAAACAGTATGGCAGCCGACAACGTCTATGAACGTTTATTAGGGGGATACGCACTTAAAACAGAGCCTCCAAAAAGCGATCACACCTTTAATCAACGTCCATAGAAGTTCTGTTTTCTTAAACTTATTATGCCATTCGAAAACCAGTAACTAAATGCATTTTCCCCAAGCCTTTTGTCAATTATATACGCGTTCAAGATAGTTTCAAAAAACATATGACTTGACCGAACTTTGACGTTGTCTAACAACTTAAAGATAAGTAATAAATCACCAATTAATAAACTAAATATCCAGTAAAACTCTCACACAAAGGTTTATAAAAGATCAAGCAATCGTAATAATGACATAATTTTTGATTTATATACCACTTAGGGTGGTTTACTTATCATTTCACGTATTAAGAATTAAAATGAAAATAAACGCATTAATGTCTCCCCCGCATTTCCAAACAACCATTTCTATGGCAACTGCCATAGAGTTACTATCAAAGATATTTAAACTGTTTTTTAATTCAAAATATTCATCAAGAGTCTATATTTTCATTTGTAATTTTCAACCAATTCCACTTAAAAATAAATAAAATATGAAAAAATTCCACAAACTTTTGGATCAACCCTCGTATATATTGTGTAATGTATATTCATAAATTAATTAACTAAAAAAATTCTTTTGGAGCAATTCTACTTTTAGTGATATTTATTGTAAATCTTCCAGTCATTGTTCAATAAATTTTTAAATCCTAAATTTACAAATATTAAAAAAAAATGTATAAATAAAATCTTACTTGACCAGGAGGGTTGCCATGACTCGGGGTGATGTCCTGAGATACTCAGGCAAATTTTCTTGTTGGTCTCAAATCTCCCATTTGGCTGTAAAAAATATGATAACTAGATGAAATTTATTCTACATACATGTATATGAACAACTGAATTATTTTTCTTTAAATTGCATAGTGGGCTATTGTTTCTGTGAAGATAATAAGTATGTCAAGTGATGCATCTTATAAAGGCAATATGTCAATTTATTTTATGTCCAATATTTCATTAATATGATATCAAAAATTTAAATTTTTTCCCCACAAAGCATTTTCCTTTACTGTACTTGTCCCTTTTCTATATTAATCTTAAAATTATAAGCCAAGAATCACAAGTATTTGAATTACACATTCCCATACTCATATTATCTCTAGATCTGTCAAAGTATAGTAATCAAATCCTAACATAAAACTTTAATGAGTCACCTGTGGAATGACTGAGAAGTTAATCACATACTATGGGCATATAAAATACCATATGAATTATTAATTTCTAAGCATAAGGTATAAGTAACTAATGGCATAAGTAGAGATAAATGTACACAAGTACTTACAGTTAAGAGTATGATACTCGGAGGCTTCATGGGGTAATCCGGGGGTAGGACAATTCTGCCGTGATAAATACCTCCACCGAAATCTGTGTCTGATGGCCCCCTTATTGTGAAATGCCACTCAAACAAATTATCCTACAATGATATAACCAGATCAATAACAAATTTGAAAAGAAAAACAAATACAAAGAATTCTAGAACTTACATATTTAACAATTGTTTAGGGTATATCATGCATTTTACCACCTTTCTAAAACATGTATTTACATGAGTATGCATTTTCTTGAATTAATAATAAATCACAAAGTCATACTCAAAATCTAAGGACACAGGAATTGTTAATTACAGAGAAGCACAATTCCCCAATTCTTACCATTGGCTATGCACTTGATAAGTTAGATTTATCTGTGTCTAAGTCCAAAACCTTATGACACCACAGTTATGATACATAAAATATATCATTGCAACAATGTTGCAAACTGGAGAGTAAGTATTAACTCCCCAACAATTTTGGAGATGCATTTAAATTATGTACTAAATTAATTAAATTAATCATGTCAACCATTTTCTTGTTGTTAAACCCCATTTTTCTCTCTGTTACACTACATTCAATTGAAGGGGGAGGGAGGGGTCCAACAATGTCCTGTTTCAGCTTGTATATATGTCTTTTGCCCTCAGATCATCTTTTAAAACATAGGTAATCAAAGATTACGAAGCTCACCTCGACGAATGTTATCAGTTTAAGAAATACAAGTCTCACATCATGCTTTCTTAACAGTTAGCATTTATCCTGACAATATTCAAGCAAGTTCTTAAATTGGTCTTAAAGATCATTGGGTATTGACCTGTTCCAAAAACTTTAACCTGGTCACTCGTTTGGAAAATAAGTGTCAAATCCAGCATCCAAAGCAAGTTTCAATTGTCCATCCTAAGGCATCCTTAGATGCATCATCCATGCAAGTTTGGTCCAGGTAGGGCTTATAGTTTCTTAAGAATAACCTAGTCACTCATCTAGAAAATGTAGATCAGATCCAGCATCAGAAGCAAGTCTGGTTTGTCCATTTCTACATGCACAATTCATGCACGTTTGGTCTGGGTAGGGCTTATAGTTTTTTGGGAATGGACCTGCTCCAAAAACTTTAACCTGGTCACTCATCTGGAAAATGTAGGTCACATCCAGCATCTGAAGCCATTTTGGTAGTGTCCAAACTGTCCATCCTTAGATGCATTATCCATGCAAGTTTGGTTTGGGTAGGGCTTATATTACTTGAAAATGGACCTGCTCCTAAAACTTTAACCGGGACGCCGACCCCGACCCAAGGGGTATAGCATAAGCTCATCTCGACTTTGTCAAGGTGAGCTAAAAATGTTTGCTTGTCCTCTCTCAACCGACTGGCTAAAAAAAAGACTCATTTTTCTTAACCTGCAAGGAATAATTTAAATTCGTTTTTTCCAGAATTTTTTTATCTCATCAACAAGTATATTAAATTTTCTTCAAAAAAAAAAAAAAACACCTTCTAGTACCTACGGACCCAATTATTTTGCCCTGAGTCGGAAGAGGGTAGCTGCAGATATGTAGCGTTATGGTTTTATATATTTGTCTTTGACCATAACGCTACAGATCCCGTAATGCAAAAAACAGGGATGGGGTCAATTACATAGGAAAGTAATTAGTTAAATTACAATTACTTTCCCAAAACCTTCAATTAAATTAACTTTCTATTACATGGATTTTGAAAATTAATTAATTAAATTACAATTACTTTGCAAATGTGATTAATTAAATTACACATTACATTCAAGAAAACATTTATAATTTATAAAGGAAATAGTCATGTGCATTCCTTTATATTTATATCAGATTAGTTTACAACATTTTTTGACAATAATATTATTAAAATGTTTATACAATTTTCAATTACTGTATCTCCTAACCTACATCTATTAGATTTGAAGATTTTCCTGCCACACTGACGATTCTTTCCACTTGGGTATTTGTGACAGGAATACGTAGATACTTACTAATAGAAAGTTTACTCATGGTTTTACCTTAATTCATATGTTAAAAAATTTGGAATCATGAAACTTTAGATTAAATTTATGTTGAAAGTACAATTTCAACAACATATAAAGATATTCTCAAAATGTTGGTATTTGACTTATTCTGTGCCAAACTAAAATTTAAAGTCAAAGTATGTGTATAAAAATACCAAAAGACAAGATCAAAATGTGTGAAAAATATCTATTAAGGAATATGTACATGACCCCAGGGCACTAATTAGCACCTGATAATAACTTCTAACACAAGCTGAAGATATTGCAAACAAGAGGATTAGAAGCCATTGGACTACTTATTTTGATATGGATTAACTAATTAAAAAATCAAAATATAAATTTTATTTCTACACTTTACTAAGATTAATTTGATTTGAAAGTTTTTAAGAAAATAAAATAGGGCAATATTTAATCAGCAAGTTACTTAAAAAGGGAAGTATAACTATGTTAAAATTCTTTTTAAGAAATTCTACTATCAGAATATTTGCTCCAAAAAATCAGTTAACCTTTCTTAAATCATGCTTTTAAAACTCGCCAGAACTTCATAAAAAGAACATTCTAATATCATTTATCTTCATTCTGTGCCTTTGTATATATAAATTGTTAAAATATTAACAGTGACATATAGGTCCTTTGGGCCGGGTGTAAGAAACTAAACTTATTGTTGTAAAATATATTGTATTACTGTAACAATACACATGTCACTATAATAAATAATTTACTTACTTACTTACTTACTTACTTATGAGATGGTGAGGGAGAGGGGGGGGGGGGGTTTCATTTATTTAAATCAGTGTAATTGAATGTAATTGAAAAGTAATTGTGAATTACATGCCTTTTGGGAAAGTAATTAATTAAATTATCATTACTTGTAATTGAAAAGTTGGCCAATTACACATTACTTTCAATTACATCGAAATTTGTAATTAATTACAGTCAATTACCATTACACATTACCATTACCCCATCCCTGGCAAAAAAGGTGCAAAGGTAGCCAATAGGTATATTTTATCCACCTCCCAACCATTTATAGTTGTCTCTACAGGCAATAAAGTTGTTTAAAGTGAATTTTCAGCAATCTAACAAATAATTTTAATCAAGCGAGTTTGTCACTTGTAGAGATGACTATAAAGGGTTGGGAGATAGATAAAATATACAGATTAGTTAAATAATGTGCCTAGAATTAGGGAGTGAAAGGTAGTTAATTGACCGATGCTGGAAAATGGAGAAATTCTCCCCCAAAGTGCGCAAAAAATATTGGGCTGTAAATTGCACCTTTTTTGCATTACGGGATCTGTAGCGTTATGGTCAAAGACAAATATATAAAACCATAACGCTACACATCTGCAGCTAGGAAGAGGGAAAACCTTTTAAAGATGGCCTCATGTATAACCTTTATACAGTAAAAATCAACACATTTTCTCAACATTTACCTCCAGAGGTTGTGCATAGTATTGCTCGGTTGCTTCACTTAGCTCCTGGGCTTCTTTCATCAGCCTCTTTACGGCTGCAAGCATACATGTCAAAAGTATTTAAAAAAACATTTCTACAATTTGACCATACTATCCACTCATAAAAAACAGGTTTCTTCTTTTAAAATATACTCAAATCGTTATATATATGTCACAGGGTGACAATTACTTGTTTTTATTTTATTTAGTATAATTATTTAGTACAGCTGGTATAGTAAGTCAGTATAGTAGATAGCTGTAGTAAATTCCTTCATTCATTCATTCATACCTGGTCATTCATTGTCATCGTGTTTGTATTGTATAATGGTTTGTCCGGTGTTCCGTGTCACGTGAGTGTTTGGTTGTCACGTGATTGTCTTGTGGTTTATTTTTATCCTAGGTGTGAGTTGTAAAACCAGTATGTATGGGGTGTGGTAGCTATGTACGCATGTGTGAGTCCTGGTATATATACTTATGCACGGACTATTCCTTTTTAATCTTGACGATACATTATAGATGTTCTCCTGCGAGAAATCCACGTGAGCAGTTTGTCTAAGAAATTCCTTACGGAATCTTAGTGCCTTAATTGATGTAACTGGTAAGAATAATTAACTCTTAATACTAAGTCTTATTCTTATTTTAAACTATTGAAATTAAATAAATATTAGTGTGTGTGAATTTGTACGAGTGTGTCATTTTCATTGCAGGTCACCTTCATTCGTACGTTCGTTTGTACTTCATTACTTCATTTATCATCGTTCCTGCAAATTGTCATCCAATAAATATATGAACCTTTATTGAGGAACTGTGTTGAATTATTATTATTCCCTGAGATTGGGAGACCCGTGACATTGGGATTCAAGCTTCAATAGTAGAGTTCCGGTTATTATTGGGACAAATGTTATTAGACTTTGTGTAGATTTTACAGGTGAGTGTGAAGAAGCATGGCAAACGGCTATTAACACTATGTGTGTTAATTGCTGTGTACCCGTTAAGACAACTAATAAATATCCTATACATTTAGCTCCCAATGAAGTGAAATACATTAGAGGAATGGTAAGAAACATGGAAGGAAAAGTGAAGACTTTAATAACAGAACAGCTGGAGAACAGTCAGGCAGGAGTGGTAGTATGCCCTCGACTGGTAGCGTCCAGTAGTACAGGAAAAAACAAAAGGGTCACAGTTAAGGTATGTAATATCTCGGCTAGTGCTGTTAAGATACCACCCAAGACGAACATCTGTAGTGTGAGTCAGGTAAGAGTAGTAGACACCTGGAATCCACAACATGCAGAGACCAAACCAGTCAAGAAGGATTCCACTACCAGATCATTAGCAGATTTAGGGGTGAAGGTCAACACTGACAAACTCTCTAAGGAGGAGGTAAGAGAAGCTTTGCATATGATTGGAAAATGGCAACACTTATTCTCTACATCTCCTACAGACCTAGGGAGGACAGATGTGGTCAAACATGAGATAAACCTAACCACAGAAATACCTTTCAAGGAACCATATAGACGCATTCCCCCTGGTATGATTGAAGAAGTTAGGCAGACATTGAAAGAGATGTTGGAGGCAGGGGCCATCAGGAAGTCAAACAGTCCCTACTGTTCTAACGTGGTTCTATGTAGAAAGTCAGACGGATCCTTGAGATTTTGTATAGACCTGAGGAAGCTTAACAACAGGACAATCAAGGATGCGTATACTCTACCCAGAATTGAGGACACTTTAGATAGATTGGACGGATCAAGGTATTTCAGTAAATTAGATTTAAAGTCAGGCTACTGGCAGGTTGAGATTCGTGAGGAAGACAAGAAAAAGACAGCCTTTACGGTAGGACCATTAGGGTTCTTTGAATGTAACAGGATGCCGTTTGGTCTCACCAACGCTCCTGCGACATTCCAAAGACTAATGGAAATGTGTATGGGTGATATGAATCTAAAAGAATGTTTACTTTTTCTCGATGATATTCTAATTTTCTCGAGTACATTTCAGGAACATCTGGTGAGGTTGGAATCAGTTTTTCAGAGATTACATGACTACAAGTTGAAATTGAATCCAAAGAAATGTGAATTCTTCAAAAGTCAAGTTCGCTATTTGGGTCATGTAGTTTCTGAGAAAGGGATTATGACTGATCCAGAGAAAACATCAGCTTTAGAAAATTGGCCTGTTCCATGTAATGTAAAGTCATTAAGATCTTTCTTAGGGTTTACAGGGTACTATCGCAGATTTATTAAAGACTACGCAAGGATTGTAAAGCCCTTGAATGATCTGCTGATTGGACAACCTACCAACAAAGCAGCAAAGAAAAACAGAAAGAGAAAGAAAGCTGAGTGGAAATGGGGTGAGTCAGAACAACAATCTTTTGAACTCATTATTCAGAAGCTTACACATCCTCCTATTCTTGCTTTTGCTAATTTCTCTAAGCCATTTATTTTGAACATAGATGCAAGTGTTAATGGTTTAGGGGCAGTTCTGTATCAAGAGCAGGATGGTAAGGAGCGTGTTATTGCATATGCAAGTAGGGGTTTACGGCAATCTGAGAAACATTATCCAGCACATAAGCTTGAATTTCTGTGTTTGAAATGGGCTGTTGTAGATAAATATCATGATTATTTGTATGGCAATCATTTTGATGTAAGGACAGACAATAATCCTCTTACGTATGTCACCACAACAGCCAAATTGGACGCAACATCACATCGCTGGTTGGCATCATTGTCAGCATATGATTTTAAGATAACATACAGATCAGGTAAGCTCAACAGAGACGCTGATGGGTTATCAAGAAATCCACCTAAACAGGAACTGTTTTCAGATGTGGTTAAAGCTATTTCTCAAGCAGCATTGGTAAAGGTAAATCCCCTAGCAGAGAGTTGTGTTATTGGTAAGTCACTAGAGCCTGACAATGCTGAAAGAGCTGAGGAGACATCACAGAAACTTAGCACTGTGAATTGGGAACTGGAACAAGGTAACGATTCTGTTATAAGTAGGGTCAAGGATCTACTTCAAAGAGGAATCAAACCAACTGGAAAAGACCTACAAGAGGAATCAAATTCAGTCAAGTTACTCTTAAGGGAGTGGAAGCAACTGGTGATTGAAAGAGGAATCTTGTTTAGAAAAACTACTGTTGCTGGAGAGGAGATACGCCAGTTAGTTTTACCAAGTAAGTATAAAGACAGTGTACTCATAGGACTTCATGAGGATATGGGTCACCAAGAACGAGACAGAACGTACTGGTTGGTACAGCAGAGATTCTACTGGCCAAACATGTATACAGATGTAGTGGAAAAGGTAGAGAACTGTGACAGGTGTGTGAGGTTTAAGACGAGAGAAGTACCAAGGACAGGATTGGTTTCCATTTTTACATCAAGACCTATGGAACTGGTTTGTATGGACTTTCTGACTCTTGAGAAGTCTAAAGGTGGGTATGAGAATATACTAGTCATTACTGACCACTTTACGAGGTATGCGGTGGCTGTTCCAACCAGGAACCAATTAGCATCTACTACGGCTAAGGTACTTTACGAACATTTCATCTGCCATTACAGTTTCCCTGAGCGTATACATTCAGACCAGGGTAGGAACTTTGAAAGTTCGGTTATCAAGGAACTCTGTAAGATTGCTGGAGTAAAGAAGAGCAGAACAACTCCATACCACCCTATGGGAAATGGGCAAGTTGAAAGGTTCAACCAGACATTGCTGAAGATGTTAGGGACGTTAGACAGTGAACAGAAGCACGATTGGAAAACTTACGTTTTACCTTTAGCCAACGCCTACAATTCAACAAAACATGAGACAACGGGATTCTCGCCGCATTACCTGATGTTTGGGTGGAACCCTAGATTAGCGATCGATGCATATCTTGGATTGGAAGAAACACCACAAAAGACCAGAAGTAGGGAGAATTATGCACAGAAGCTGAAGAAAAGACTAAACTACGCATACAAGATGGCCAGAGGTAACATTGGTAGAAACAATGCAAGGTATAAACAAGGTTATGACAGGCAGGTCCGTTTTGAAAAATTAGAAGTTGGAGATAGGGTTTTGGTGAGAACATTAGTATTTTCTGGTAGATCAAAATTAGCTGATAAGTGGGAGAGAGATCCCTACATGGTAATAGAACAGCCTGTTTCAAACATCCCAGTCTATAGAGTCAAAAATGAGATATCAGGAAAAATTAGAACATTACATAGGAATCTTTTATTACCTTTTATGTGCATTACAAAATCTTCGAATTTAGATCAACATTCAGATAACAGGGTCCCGAACGCAGTACCAGACCAGGAAGTTGCAGAATCAGAGACAGAGTCCGAATCTGAAGATGAGGAAGTTTTGGTAAGGCATAAAAGAGTCAAACCTAAACAGTATATATCTAGTGTTTCAGATAGGTCAAGGTCATCCAAGTCACTATCAAATAGAGAAGCATCGACTAGAGAAAATACAACACTGAACCGCACAGAGCCATCAACTAGGGAGACTTCAACAAGCGAAAGTATAAAGTTAACCCACATGGAACCATCTATTCCAGCTAATGTAGTAGCAGAGCCCCGCAGGTCTGCCAGAACCAAGAAAGTACCAGATAGGTATGGTTCCTGGGTATCTCCCATAGAGACCCAGATTTGGTATGTATAAATAGGGAGAACGTCACAGGTAATCAGGATGTGTGTATATAGATTTAATATGTTGTTTTTGTTATGTTTTTATTTCATCTTGGATAGAACTACTATGATTTAACTTAAGATTTCACTTACAGTGACTTAGTTAATTATGTATGGTGTATATTGTAGTTCATAATTTTATGATTAGTCATTAAGTCTTATTATTTGATAGTTACTTAGTGTTGATAAGACTTAAGTTAGTGTAGATAAGTTTAGTAGTAGAGTATTCTCTTTAAGAAATGTCAGGAGACATTTTATTAAAGAGGGGGAGAATGTCACAGGGTGACAATTACTTGTTTTTATTTTATTTAGTATAATTATTTAGTACAGCTGGTATAGTAAGTCAGTATAGTAGATAGCTGTAGTAAATTCCTTCATTCATTCATTCATACCTGGTCATTCATTGTCATCGTGTTTGTATTGTATTCTGGTTTGTCCGGTGTTCCGTGTCACGTGAGTGTTTGGTTGTCACGTGATTGTCTTGTGGTTTATTTTTATCCTAGGTGTGAGTTGTAAAACCAGTATGTATGGGGTGTGGTAGCTATGTACGCATGTGTGAGTCCTGGTATATATACTTATGCACGGACTATTCCTTTTTAATCTTGACGATACATTATAGATGTTCTCCTGCGAGAAATCCACGTGAGCAGTTTGTCTAAGAAATTCCTTACGGAATCTTAGTGCCTTAATTGATGTAACTGGTAAGAATAATTAACTCTTAATACTAAGTCTTATTCTTATTTTAAACTATTGAAATTAAATAAATATTAGTGTGTGTGAATTTGTACGAGTGTGTCATTTTCATTGCAGGTCACCTTCATTCGTACGTTCGTTTGTACTTCATTACTTCATTTATCATCGTTCCTGCAAATTGTCATCCAATAAATATATGAACCTTTATTGAGGAACTGTGTTGAATTATTATTATTCCCTGAGATTGGGAGACCCGTGACATATATATTAGTGTGTCATAATGATTTTATTTCTAGACTTTTGAATCACCTAGTTTTAGTGCTAGAAAATTTACTTAGCCTTCTAACAATTCTTTATTTCAATGCAAAAATAAGAAGAATGGTATACTGTAAAGGGAACATACCTGGACTTCTTGTACTATACATTCCCTGCATTTCTGTTCAATTAAACTAGTTGTTCTCAAATAAAAATCTTTGCAGGAAGTTTACGTGTAAATTATTGATAATTTTTTACTTTCACTTTCACACAATGTAAGATCCTTCATCATTGGATAAGCGAAATAAAATTAACCAATCAACAGATGAGTTTGAGAAGTCGTTCGACAAACTTCACATTTACGGAATCGGCCGAAGTTTGTCGATTGATGGAAATAAAAGAAATTAACCATTTTTTTTTAAAAAAATATATCTTAATAGAAATATAGAGGAATTATTTGAAGATGACTCGATGGTTGTCACAAACTTTTTTTTGCTATTTAAGTTTCCGCCAAAAAGCCTCGAAAACTGCCATTATCTTCTTTGTTTGCTTTATAATCCCCCCCCCCCCCCTCTACATGTACGTTCCAGGAACATTAACTGTACACAAATTATAGACATCTATGTATGTAACATAGATAATCTGCAGGTAATACACATGAAGAATGGAAAACTTTTTTTTCTCTTCTTAACTTAAGGCTAATCAGATTAAAAATAAAAATCCGAAATTACGAAAACTCGCAAAACTTTTTGATACTCAGTAATTAAAAATTAAAATAAAGAGGAATTAAGAATCGACTTTCGTATCTGTAAATCAAATAGATATTTTAGTCAACAACTATAATTTCAGCCATGAAATTTAGTATGAAGTTATCTGTTATTATTTATTCGATAATAGAACATTTTTTGTATCGCTCAACCCAGATACATGTAAATTTAAGTCCATTACTTCAAAACGTTTTTCTTTGGTATGCATGCATATACATACATCCCAGTTCTCTGAGTAGCAATTGCACGGGGAATAGATTTTTAATTTGATATTGATTTTTGACTTGGATTGGTTTTGTAATCGGTTAAATTTTTAAACTAAGCATTTTTTTCAAAACTTTTTCGAGAATTCTTGCAAATTCTATTCAGCAAAATATGATTGTCTTACACACATCTTCCCATTATGTGACACTTTTCACATTGATTTTATTTTTCATTGATTGCAAATAAAACTACACTGTATTTCCACATTTCTGAATTCTTTTATTTCATTTATTTAAAAAAATCAAATTCATATGAAATAGTGAAGAATTAACTATTTAAAATTTTGGTGTAGAATTTTATGTTTGCGAAATGCACAGCGTCCATCCATGCATTACGAACACGAGGGTTAGCTATACTTTTAATCCTATTAACTTATCTATTTGTCCGACACTTTAAATTATACAATTTCACGTACATGCATGTACCTGGGGTAATCCAATATTTACTTTCGAGATACCACTAGGTTTGTTTTGATTTGAATTTCACAGTCAATAGTGATTGAAAAAACAAGTGTCACACGTAAAAAAAAATCAATCAGAGGATAGATCGATCGATCGATGACGACACACCTGTATGAAATATACCTGTTCAATGACCCAGTGATTACATTCTGACTTAAAAAAGAATCTCAGTTAGACAGGCACGAACCACCGGTATTTAAAAGGACCTAACGATACAAAACATAAACAAACAAACGCACATTTTGGGAAATATCTTTTGTGATATCTGATTCACACGATTTCCACATTTAGTTTGGATTTAAATGTGTCCTTTTAATTGGTAAGTTTCATTCAATTTATAAATCTTCAAAATATGAAGCTTTCTTATAAACACCTGCTCAAAAGATAATTTTAACATGACAATTCCTGTATTGATCCGATTTTTAAATAACCATAAACTACACATATATAAATTTACATAATAACCTCTGAATGTCAATGCTTGTATATTAATTGAGAATAAAATGGACGCCACATAAAAAGTATTTAGCCTTCCAGTGGTAAGTTCTTGCTGACATTTTATTTTTAACATTGAATCATCCCTCATAAGAAGAAATCATCATATATCAAACTGAAAACCATAAAGGTGCAGCGGACTTAAGTTTTATTTGTTGAAGACCGTTAATGTTTATTTAGTTTTGGATTTAATAACGTAAGATATATCAGATTGATTCCGTATACATAACCTATATCGCCAGTATCAATTCCCTATGTTTGAATTATAAATGACATGCATTTACAATGTTTACAGACATTCTCATAATGCGAAAATGAAATTTAACATATAGATAACGATCCGGACATGTATGTAAAACATTCCCTTTCAACACAAGTCCGATAACCTTAACGCCTGTTAGTGATTATGAGATATTATAATGGGTTACTCTGTAACCCCAGAATTCAGTGTATTATGAAGTAAATTATTAATTTTTTTATTGATGCCGTTTTTGATCTGTAACAGCTCAGGACACAACAGACTGCAAGATATGATTGTCACAAAATTCAAAACGGGTATCCATCCATCAGTTTACCTTGTCCCTCTTTCAATGAAACCATTCCAAACATCGTAATTACAAACTGAAATCCTTCTTTTAGTTTTTATTAAATATGCCCCAGCTCCCAAATGTATGAAATATTTTATTCAATATTCTGAAGTAATTATATTTTTATAACTGAACGATTGCTTTCATTGACAGACACGTAGAGTTTCAATTTGACGCACAAATATTATCTATTGGGAAATATATTTCTAAAGAAGGACATTTAAAATTTATCTCTAGCGGTAGAGTTTGTTTTTAGGAACCCTGGGGTTAACAATTCTAACACAGAACAAAATGATTATTTTATTTGAAAGAAATAAAACGTGTCATAGAATTGATCAGGTTGTATATATAAAGTGCAAAGGTTGGAATGACTGCAGATATCTTTCTTGGCAAAACTACTCTATCCATTCACCAGATATAACGTATGATTGAAAAGGCGGCGGAGAAATAAGGAAAACTGATCAGTTTAAAAATTCGGCAAACAATTAATACAAATCTGAGAAAAGGGTATAAAATAAGTTCCCCTGAAATTTCAGAGGAGGGATCAGCTATCTAGGAGGAGTAAGAATCCTTTATTGAGCCGTCACACCTGCCATAAGCCGTATTTTTGATGATGCATAAACGGAACATTCAGTAAAAAGTTAAGTTTAAGTTGTTTAGCTCAAAAGCACATCAATTGCAATTTGATTAAAAAAGTCAACCAAAATAAGACCTCATCATAAACTATTAACGACCATAGAATTAATTAAATGCTGCTTTTAATCAGCTCAGTTGTTGAAATCCATGTAACCTCAACTTATCTCTCAATAACTAACCTCAGTTAAAAAATTAATCGTACTCAGGGTATGCTCTTGAATATAGGCCTCTATCGCCTATACTAGACAGCAAAACTTCTTAATATGAAATAGAGACACAGACTCTGTGGTGCCTTCAATTTTTTAGCTCACTGGGATTTACATAGACTCGGCATTTAAAGCAATAGTTTCTCCTTCTCATACAGTTTTAAGTCCTTATTTTCCCATAATGAACATGCATTAAAACCGAACTTTTTCAATTTAAAATTTAACAGGTCATTTTACATGTACCATAAGCAGATTAATTAATGTTCAGCTAATTCTGAACTCTTTTTAGATAACGAAGCAACATGTAATGCAAGAAATATGAGAATGGACTGATATATATACTCCCAAAATCAAATATGTCAACGGTGTTGAACACAGGACTAGGGCACATGGCCGGAAGTAAGATAGAAATTATGATCAGCTGCACCAACTTGGCGGATCTAGACGATTTCACGAAATCTGATCCGATGTGTGTTTTGTTTGTCCGACAGTTTGGACAGTGGAAAGAGTACGAGAGGACCGAAGCCATCAGGAACACACTCAATCCGCAGGTACATGACGTCATGGAGACTTTCGAGTTCACCACAATAGCGAAATATAAGTTTCACAAGACGCAGATTGCACCTTTAACATACTACTACTCATATTCAGCATGTAAGATAAAGGATTGAAAAAACTAATACCACTTGTATTTTTAGGTAAGCTTTGAGCTGATCTGAAAATTCTTTGTTTTGTAGTTCGTCAAAAGCTTCATTTTGGAGTTTGAACCTGGTCTCACACAACAATTAATGTTTTCAGTGTATGACATTGATAGCAGGTAAAAGAGACACGATTTTAATACAAAGATATATTTCTTCATTTTCTTTTCCGACATGAAACACACGTCGAATTTTATTAAACTTATAAAACTCGGACTAACTTTGAAGTAATGCACAACAACAATTAATCAAACAAGACGATATTTTGTTACAGATCCCAGGATCTTAAGCATCACGACTACGTAGGATCTGTAGAAGACAATCTTCTTAATCTAATAGATGAAAACAATCTGATCAAAACCACCAACAAAAACCTTCGTGTTCCCGGTACGTATTAGCGAAATGCTTTTCAAAATTCCATTCTTTCTTTTCTCTTGAAAATCGTGTCAAATTGATACAAAGATTTGGTTTAAACACAGATACTTAAAATAGGAGCAATTAGAAAAAATTTATTGACCATGACAATATAAATGTTTTAGATATTTGATCAAAACATTGAATTAAACGTGGGTAGGCAAGAAAAATAGTATAACTTGAAAGGTAATTTGCGTTTAAAAGTAAGATAAAGTCAAAAAAGATTTAAGAGAAAAATAACCTTGTACATTTTCTGTTACAATGCAAAAGCAAAATGAGAATACAGAAGTTTCCCTATATTAAATATTAATTTAATTCCCATTAAGATCACGACCTATGAATTAAATGCACTAACTGTAAAAATCTTTTAATTTTTCAATTATTCTATGAGTACTTTGGCTTGACATTTAAAACCAAAGTCGTCATTTAGCTAAGAATAGACAAGTAAATATTCAAATAAATATTATGAATTTGTCAACCAATGTATTGGTTATGTTATCTGTACAGGGCATGCCAAAAGTCGGGGGTTAATCAGTATAACTACAGAGGTTGTCAAGGAATCGCGGAATAAAGTGTCCATTCATGCTGGAGGTCACAAACTTGACAAAAAAGGGGTTCTGTCATTAAATAAGGTAATTAATTGAATATTCCAAGACTCCTTTTATTTAAGAATTATTAGGGTTATATTTTTAAACTAACTAAGTTTCTTAACTTTCAGCATTAATTCAAAGACCAAGACACTCTCCTAAGTGAAACTATACATTTGTTAAACATTAAAAAGAAACACATTTTCCAACTTTTTGTGGCATTAGAATTCTTATTTTTTCTTGCAGCCAGACACATATTTCCAAATATCGCGATGTATCGATGGTACCACAGGCTCAACCTATCAACCGGTGTATCGGACAGAAATCGTCCACAAGTCAACCAAACCAAGGTAGAGAGTAATGTGTCGTTAGTATCTCAATTACGATCCCTGACATCTATTACAAGTCTTTTAGTGAGCAAGTTCTTGTTGGTGCTGAATTTGCTTTCGATTTACATCGTACATCTACATTTATATATATGTATATGCCTATATAATAAATTGGCAATTCGTAATACCTTGAAAATTCGATCACTGTACAGTTTTATTTGAATCCCTGTAATTCTTTATGTATAGATGGCGACCGTTTGAGATTAATCTTCAACCTTTGTGCAATAGTGACATGGATAGAGGAATCCAGTTCTCCGTGTGGCATTTCAGGTGAAAAGAAAACTATTTCACATGGTGTAGGTCTATTTCCGTAAAGGAAAATCAACTTTTAAAGCATGTTTTTAGAATTTTAAATAATTAAGAAGAATTCATTGCTTTACAAACTAATATATCTAATTCTAATATTTTTCCAAGTATTAATCATCTAGCGAATTACGATGTCTTAGTGGTCTCCTTCTTAACATTAGAATTAGAATAGTTCCTGTTGCAAATTTGAAAAATAATGGAATTTGGCATTAGAAATAAGTAACTCATATTGATATTAGTTAGATGTGGATATTAAGTAAAAAAAATTATAACTTAAGAATTAATAATGGCGTTGTTTTTGTGTGACAGTGGCAATGATTACCACCTGGTAGGACGCAACAACACAACTCTCCGAGAGATGAGCCAGAGGGAGGGGTGTGTATAACTTATACTCATTTCAGTTTTGCTGTTTTAATTTATAATAGAATGATATATAACAATTAAACAACGATTTTTAAAATTATGTCCAGCATCTCAGATAAAACATGCTAAAGAAAAAATATTGAGCTCTAGACTGAATAAGAAACGTCTTCCCTTTCAAATTCGTGTTCAATTTAGATATCATTGATGTATATCCGTACCCTTTTCTAAACAATCATCTTGAGTTTCAATGTGAACAGGAATGGAAGTTTTATGGAGGTTTACTTATCAAGTCCGAAAAAAGAAACAAAGAACAAAAAGAACACTTTAGCTGGAACCTTACGCTTCTTCCGGTTCAAGTAAGACTTCATCACAAAATTAATTCCTATCCAAGATTTACAAGATTCCTAATAAATCCCCTTTATCATTTTTCTATCTTTTCTTCTTAGATTTATTGAATTTTTTTGTTCAGCTCTTTTTAAAATAGCAAGTCGAAATTTCCTTGATTTGTTGTTACTTAAGTTGTTATTTGTTTTTATTAACGGTATATAGTTTTATCTTTATAGAATAGACATGCAATACTCACTGTTTGACTTCATCAGAGGGGGACTTCAGCTACAACCCGTAGTGGCAATAGATTTTACTGTGAGTGTTTCTTCTGTGTCGTCTATTTCAGAACAAAACATTTATTGTTTAACCTACTTGTGTATTATTAAGTAATATTTGGATAATATGCCAAGAAATGAGAATTCTTCCAATCTATTTCAGGCTTCAAATGGTGCAATAGAAGAAGATTTATCTCTACACAGTCTCAGCAATACAAGGGTAATTGGTTTGTTGTTGTTTTACTGATAAAATAAAAATAATACAGGCAGGTGAATGAATTAAAGCATATGCTGTTTTGTTTTTGCATATTTATTACGTTTATATCAAAATTTCACATGTAAAATGATGTCGTCATTGTGCCAATATTAAAATGCCATATTTTAACTGTCTTTATGTTTGGTTTCAGGAAAATCAATACATGGATGCAATGGACACACTAGGTGCAATGATATGTCAGTATAATATAGAGCAACAAATTGCCCTGTTTGGATTCGGTGCAAACTGGAAAAATAAGCAGAAAGTCTCTCACTGCTTCCCTCTTTGTGAAGATGTATTTGTGAAAGGAATAAAGGTATACATTGATTACCGTTTTATTACATTTATTGATAATTCCTTCACAAGCTTGAATTGGTCATAATAAAACTATACCACTGATTGAATATGGTTAATGCATAATTAAAGTCCATTGTTAATGTCTCATTATAATGACAGTTATTCAATTTTGCTCCTTATTCATTCAAAAGTATGATTTTTAAGAAATTGTCTGACTTTTTTGGCACGATTCTTAATTAACACTAAGCAATACCATTTCAAAACATAAACAAGAGGCCCATGGGCCACATCGCTCACCTGAGCACTGTGGCTAGGAAAAAGCAGAATTGGTTTATACTTGAAAAGCTTAAATCCAAAAGTAGTCCCAAGACCAATCATGGCTTTGCTATTCTTGAGAAGAAGATTTTTAAAGAATTTTCCTATATATTTCTATGTAAAACTTTGGTCGGCCATTTTGGCCCCGCCCTACCCCTGGGAGTCATGATTTGAACAAACTTGAATCTACACTACCTGAGGATACTTCCATATAAATATGATCAATTATGGCTTTGCTATTTTTGAGAAGAAGATTTTTAAAGAATTTTCCTATATATTTCTATGTAAAACTTTGGTCGGCCATTTTGGCCCCACCCTACCCCTGGGGGTCATGATTTGAACAAACTTAAATCTACACTACCTGAGGATGCTTCCATTTTGATATGATCAATTATGGCTTTGCTATTCTTGAGAAGGAGATTTTTAAAGAATTTTCCTATACATTTCTATGTAAAGCTTTGGTCGGCCATTTGGCCCTGCTCTATCCCCGGGGGTCACGATATGAACAAACTTTAATCTACACTACCTGAGGATGTTTCCCCATAAGATTAATTTTTACTGACACAGTGGTTCTTGAGGAGAAGATTTTTAAAGAAATGTCCTATACATTTCTATGTAAAACTTTGGTCGGCCATTTTGGCCCCGCCCTACCCCTGGGGGTCATGATTTGAACAAAATTGAATCTACACTACCTGAGGATGCTTCCATATAAATATGATCAATTATGGCTCTGTTGTTCTTGAGGAGAAGATTTTTAAAGAAATGCCCTATATATTTCTATGTAAAACTTTGGTCGGCCATTTTGGCCCCGCCCTACCCCCGGGGGTCATGATTTGAACAAATTTGAATCTACACTACCTGAGGATGTTTCCCCATAAGTTTCATCTTTCCTGGCACAGTGGTTCTTGAGAAGAAGATTTTTAAAACATGCCACCAAATTTTCATTAATTCCCAATTATCTCCCCTTGAATGAGGGTGTGGCCCTTCATTTGAACAAACTTGAATCCCCTTTACCCAAGGATACTTTGTGGCAAGTTTGGTTGAAATTGACCCAGCGGTTCTTGAGAAGAAGTCGAAAATGTGAAAAGTTTACAGACAGACGGACAGAAGGACGCCAGACAAAATGTGATCAGAAAAGCTCACTTGAGCCTTCGGCTCAGGTGAGCTAAAAATACTAAAGTCTTTCATTTTATAATCAGCCAGTATATTTTCAAATTAATTACATGATTACTTCATGTGCAATCCGATCATAGTAGTTGCTACAACGTTTCCAAAATGTATGGAAAAATAACTTGATAAGAGTAGGTACAAGCTGATATGTTTACGGAATTCTCATCTTAGCTCTTAGTTCAGAGATGTCTCTTACTTCACAATATTAGTTATAAGAATTCTTGTGACAAAATCGATTTTTGGACACAGAATGCCATCAGCCAGTATGAGGGGGCTCTACCATTACTCCATTTTTCTGGTCCGACTCAGCTGGCTCCGATGTTGGAGAAGGCAGCGTCTTTAGCAGAATCTCAGAATATGTCTCAGAACAAGCAGGTCTATACCGTCTTAATGGTCATCACTGTAAGTATAGGTTTATTTATATAAAAATTTACATATTTAATACCCAGCAAACATTAATTCAGAAGTATATAGATTATTCTAGTACATTTTCTTCCAAATACACGTAACTTTTCTTCAATTCTTCACAAAAAATATTATCAACAGCAAAGGAGAATGAACAGGAGTACTGCACAACAACATATTCGAGAAGTGGTATTATGAAATATTGATTCTTAAAAACTGAAACGAACTTTTAGAAAATTTGAAATCGTAACATTTTACCAAAATTAACAGCATCAGATCTTTCAGCTTTTCAACTCTAGTCTTGGTATAAACACATCCCGCAATGCATCAGAAACCAGGCTTTTTGTCTTTGACATCTTGGATAAGATCTATAGCTTCTTCGAGAAAATTATCGTACCTTGTCAGCGGTCATCCTGAAATTTATTTTGTTAAGAAACATTCTGGTTCTTCACACATCTTCTCTGAAGTTGATGCTAATAATCGCTTTTAAGTTTCCAATCTGTTGGAACTTCCATAGGTTTTTATGATAATGAATAGGGAGTGTTTTAAAAATATCTATGTGCAATACACAAAGAGGAAAGAGGTGGGATCGGGGGCATAGGGGAAGTAAGCATCCCCTGTTTACCAGCTGCATCCGCCGTGAACCCTAGATGTATTACTAACAGTAATCGGATAAACGTTCAGTATAAAAACAAAGGCATTTCAATTGGTATGAAATAAGTCAGCCACAATATGACCAAGTGAGAGGAAAAAGGTTATAATTGATTGCAAGATCATTGTAGCGATCATATAATTAACGAAATGGTGACTATAAATAATGTTGTTGAAATCACTGTCACATCAAGGTATTGGTTTGGTTTGAAATTGATAATACATAAAACAAGTATTCGTTTTTATTCCAACATTTATGGTCATTTCAAATATATGAACTTGATATATCCCATTGAACTCGAAATGAAAGACTCAAATTTTGATGTAATCTGTTTCATGTTTTCTTTCGTCAAATTCCTTTATATATATGGAGCAATTTGCCATTATCTCTGGCATATGGTGTTTATATCTTTCAATTTAACCGTTATGCAAGAGATATCTGCATAAAATAATTTCTGTTAAACAGGACAGGCTATTGACAAATGGGTTCATGATACAAAGATTGCTTGCAATACAATGAATTATAGGTCGAGTTTTGACTGATGTCTCTCATATTAGTTGTTAGGCATTTTGTTTTCATTGAATTATTTTCTCATTTTCTCGTTATTCTGACACATGTTTCAACAAGGGGATGCTTGTTTCTCCAAGGCATTTGATCTCACATCTGTTTTCACTATTTGCTAACAAATTGTATTGTTTTAATGAATGTTTCAGCTTAATAACTTTGTTATCTACGCATTCATTCAAATTAAATTGAATATTCTCTAATTAATTACAGGATGGCGTCATTAACGATATCAAACGAACCTTAAGAAAATTGATTGCCATCAGTCATCTCCCCTTGTCTGTAATTTTTATTGGTGTTGGACCTGCAGATTTTAGCCTCATGGTATGTGCCAAATAATCAGTCATTCTAGTATTACACTAGATTTCAAATTTATAATACTTCATAAATTGGCAAACATTCCGTATTTTTTAATAGAAATGATTTTTTGATCCAAGTATACAAAGAAACACGTTTCCTACTGTAGGAACAGTTCCATATAAATACAGACACCCCTCTACAGAATAAGAAGACAGGGGAAGTGGCAGTACGAACAAACACGTACTTTGTTGCTTTTCATAAAGAAAATATCAACACTGGAGGCAATGCAGCGCTGGTTAGAACTCTTATATATTGCTATCCACACTTTATGTCGCTAAAGGTTCATTGACCAACTGATAAGAAAAAACTGTGTGGGGGACTGGAGAAATAAAATTTCCAAGTTAAACAGATCTATTTATCAACGTTTTTCCCACTGTGTATCTTAAAAAAAAAGATATTTCAATCATGAAGTTGATTTCTTTTAATTTCGCTTGGAATACACAATGCAACATGATGGCTGTAGATTAAAGTTTTGTCTTCTATCTGTTCGAGTCTGACCGTTTGTGAATCAATTCAAAAATTTCAAATATACTTTATGTCTAGGCTAAAGAAGCGATGGCAGCTCTATCTACACAGATCATCCAATACATGAAGAAAAACAACCTGACTCCAAATAAACCCAAACTGATACGCAACGAAATAATGGACTGCTTCACAGACGATCAGCCCAAACTTTTACCCAAATCAATGTCAAAGGCCAGCTTAATATCGGTCAAAACAACAGGTACGTTTTCACTTCTGGCTGTATGAAAGAATGCCTGATTCATGGAATATATTATTTCCCTCAAGTCAATTTCGTTAAGGTTTTATATAAAGTGTATATTTATATTTTTCTAATGTTAAGCCAACATAGTTTATAACCACTGTTATTTGGCATTGTAATAAATGCATAAAATTTTGTATCTAAAAGATGCTCAAGATCTACCCTTTTGCACCTTTTCAAAATATCACCCCTTTAGACCTATCCCCAATCACTTATTTTATAGGATACATTATTTACCGTTACAGGTCCAGCATGCCCTACCTGTGGTGCTCAGATTGAACCAGGAACACAGATTTACAGTGACATTTTAAACACAAGTGTCACATGACAAGAAACCATCCCTTAAACTATTTATAAACTTATTTTTTGCAACGAATAGCCCAAAGCTTCATCTGCAATGTATACTGCTGAGAAGCTAATGGTTTTGAATTGTGTCAGAATCTCAGTAATAACCATAAGGATTTCACAAATAGTATAATTTAGGATAAAACCAATAATTTGAATCCTGAGAATATTAAACCACGAAGTCCAAATGTGATTTCGAAATAATAAAATAGAAACATTTTTTATTTTTATTCTTTGATATAATGTAATTGATTTTGAAATCTAATAATAATACCACAAGGACAGTTATGGTGCAATTTTTTAATAGATTAAATAAACTTTTACCGTGGAATCATAAAAATTCGTGATGGCCATTTTTCGTGGATTACTTAAAATTTAAACGTTTGTCGGGACGTAATTTCTAGTATCCACTTAAATTATATCGAAAAGGGCCAATGACTTAAACCAAAGTATTTTTATTCGTGAAGGATGTATATATTCGTGAATGAATAAACACCACAAATTTCACTAATTTTCTAATTTTAAGGTCCACATAATTTAATGATTATTAATCAACACTATCAACATTATATACATTTAATGAGGTGTAAAGACATGACACTTAAGGAAATGAAAAATACATCAAGAGTTATTAAAAGACAACTCAGAACTGGATTCAAATTGACCTGGCTACGGCAACATCCAACCAGCAAAGGAGGACCGGCCCCAGGAATGACTCATTATGTCCCCTGAGTTCCGGTCGTCCCCTGTTCTTATGTAAACATCATCTCCTTTGTTAACGTGCACAACAACAACGTTTGAAACGCTACCATCGATATTTGAGGAAGGATTTAGATAAACTGCTCCAACAACATTGCTGTTGACTACCAATTCCGTTGTGTGGAAAGACGACCCATACATTCTTATTGTCCAGGCAAAAACGTAAATTCCAGCTCGGGGTGCAATGAATATCCCGGTATAGGGATGGTATCCGTTCCCAACATTTGTTACCATGACATCGAATGTAATGATGTGATGGCCGACGAAAGCAGGGATTGCTTTAGACAAGTACGCGTAGAACGCCAAACTATTGCTTGAAGATGGAAGGGTTGTAGGCGTTGTCAACGGAGCAAGAAGTCTTCCTGAAACACAAAAAATAAATGTGTGATTATTTACTGTGTATATTTATGAAAATTTAAAATCTAACAAAAGAAAAAAAAAGACAATGGGTTCTATGCTGTATGTATTTCAGAATGAATTTTGATTATATCAAAGCAAAACGTAGTATTTCAAATACTGGCAATGTTTCGCAACTAGAATATGAGAATCAATGTATACCTCTCCTTATCAATTTTTCACACTTTGGTTCTTTTGTAAATCTTGCTGCAGATATTTTTGAAGTTTTTCCCTCTTTCCCTTGGAAAACGCGTAGAGCTCTAAGAAAATTAAAATTGGTATAAGGATGTTGATGATGTGTTCGTTGGTAAGCAGGAATTTGAGATTGTTTATGGATTGTGATATTTTCTTGGGATTCAGATTCTGTGGATTGCCGAACAATGGTCTTTTCTAAATCACTGACTCGCCTCTCCAAAGACGAAATGCGTTTGTTTTGAGTAATGACAGTCCTCTGTAGTTCTTCAAATGATTCCATGTTTGGCATGTCCTTCTGCTTTTCTAACAGGGAAATTCGTTCATTTTGAATGTTAATCGTATTTTGTAGATCGTTTAATATATTATCTACTGACCTCCAATTTGGATCATAACTGTTTCCGTTGACGCAACAAAATAATCGAATGTGCACCAAAAGTGCAATAACTACGAAATGCATTGACGCCATTTTAGGTCGATTTCTTTGAAACTCTTTATTTCAATAGTTCTTATCTCTCTGTTATGTACACCTTTCCCAAAACTTCGGAGATAATGACATTTCTTCTTAAAATTAGAAGAAAGAAAATGGTGTTGCACTGAAATTCGCACACCAATCCATGGTCGATCCATTATAAATAGTTTTTAGGTGTGTGTTTGTCCGTCTCTCAAAACACATGATGCAATATATTTTATTAAAGTTCTTGTTTGTATTTATATATTTGCTAGAATTACTTATATAAAAGATCATATTTAGCATTGCATTTAAAGAAAAGTTCACTTTACTCGAGTAAATATGGATTGTCATAGCAAGAAATGTACTGAAGATGGGTAGAAGCTTGACCTCTACCTATAGCCATCTTTATCCTAATTGAAAATTGACTAAATGTATGTAAAACAATGTAAAAAAAAAATTAACAAATACTGCAGTAAGAAAATTTACTGAAATGTGTGGACAGTACCAGTAACACTGTCATCCATGTGGATGTTAGTACTGATGTACAACGATAGTACCAGTAACACTGCCATCCATGTGGACGTTAGTACTGATGTACCATGACAGTACCAGTAACACTGCCATCCATGTGGACGTTAGTACTGATGTACAACAACAGTATCCGTAACACTGCCATCCATGTGGACGTTAGTACTGATGTACATTGACAGTACCAGTAAAACTGTCATCCATGTGGACGTTAGTACTGATGTACAACAACAGTATCCGTAACACTGCCATCCATGTGGACGTTAGTACTGAGATTTGTGGAAAGTACCAGTAACACTGTCATCTATGTGGACGTTAGTACTGATATTTGTGGACAGTACCTGTATAACACTGTCATCCATGTGGACGTTAGTACTGAGATGTGTGGACAGTACTAGTAACACTGTCATCCATGTGGACGTTAGTACTGAGATGTGTGGACAGTACCAGTAACACTGCCATCCATGTGGACGTTAGTACTGGGATGTGTGGACAGTACCAGTAACACTGTCATCCATGTGGACGTTAGTACTGAGATGTGTGGACAGTACCTGTAACACTGCCATCCATGTGGACGTTAATACTGAGATGTGAGGACAGTACCAGTAACACTGCCATCCATGTGGACGTTAGTACTGAGATGTGTGGACAGTACCAGTAACACTGCCATCTATGTGGACGTTAGTACTGAGATGTGTGGATAGTACCAGTAACACTGCCATCCATGTGGACGTTAGTACTGAGATGTGTGGACAGTACCAGTAAAACTGCCATCCATGTGGACGTTAGTACTGAGATGTGTCGAAAGTAACAGTAACAATGTCATCTATGTGGACGTTAGTACTGAGATGTCTGGACCCAACAAAATTGTTACCTACCAACAGTCAGGTGTCGTGTGGTATGATACTCCATATATTCTGATATGGTTCATGTAAACACGTAGAGACCAGATCGGGGTGGGGGGGGGGGGTCTATGAAGGTATCCGTGTGGGGATGGTAGGAATTTCCAACATTGGTGATCGATTACCTTGTCAAATGTAAGAATGTGGTGCGCAGTTGGAGAAGGAATTCCTTTCCTAAAAAAGCAAAGAAAGCGACAGTGTTGCCGAGGGACGCTGTAGTTATACCAGGAGCAAGCGATTGTTCTGAAAGAAGAGAATAATGATCTTTGAGATATGTAGAAGCACATTGTTATTATTATTGTTATAATAAAACTTAAAAGAAATATTTTATTGTCTGTATTTCGACATACATGTATCTATGTTGGTAATATAGAGACACAGCGTTGGTGGCAGTGCCTTGGTGTCTTACCTTTTCTAATTAAACATTTTTGTGTTGTTTAAATGCCTTTGGGATATAAGGGGGGTAGTCTCAAATATTGTAGTAGGTCGAGTAGATCTCTTTGCCCTTTTTCCTGTATATTCTGTCTTCTCGGTAATGTAGAAGTATTTTACATATTTCTTTTCTCTGATTTTCTAGAGCTAAAATGTACTTTGACAGGGTAATCACACTTTCTTCGGTAATTTTTTGGGTTAGAAAATAACGAGTTCAAATATATTTATTTTGCACCAAAATAATAAAAAGAGGAAAAAGAAACTTTTTTAAAGTTTCGATTTGTTTTGTAAAATGACTACCTTGACCGGTCGAACATTTTTAACCGACGTTTTGGAAAACTTAAAGCTGAACACGACTCGTAAATAGAAACATATGGCGATAACGAACAGTATTCAAGATCAAAAGTCAGTAAAAAACAGAAACAGAGCAAACACGGATCTCCAAAGCATCAGAGGTGGGAATAGGCACATTTTAATTTGATCATACTAATCTATCTTCACATTATATACATCTGACTGCTTCATTGTCATAGTTTTCGGAGTGGAATGGCAACACATGTTCTTGTTAGTTAACATGCATTGTTTTTATTTATATATTTAAATGCAGTCACATGTTTTTGAATGTGTCTGTTACAGCACCGACCTGTGCAACTTCTGTAAGTTTCTTTGAAGTCTTGCTATATTACCGTAAAAGAAATATACTATTTTTTTCCCTACTGGGCACTGGGTAGCATGCGTCTGTCTATACCGATGACAACTGATTACATTGAACAGATATAACGAGCGAATAATGGAATATGGCGAACAAATCCCTTTTCACGAACCGTGTAGTTTTAATTCCTACATGTTGATAGACTGTCGACTGACTTGACAAATGACTGCTAGTAGTCAGACAATGATCAGTGTTTGGTCGACAGAATATTCTATGACTGCCTAAATGAAGAAATCGGTAAACCACTACCAGAAAACCTTGACCCGGGGGGTACAAAATTGGTACGCGGACCAAAAAAATTGTGAAATCGGGCAAGACAACGGCCAATGAACTGCTGACTACTGCAGATGAAAACCATTTTTGCCCCCCAAACTTGACGGCCGTTTGCCAATTTGTCTCTTTTAGAAATGTGAATCGACTTGTTTTTTTCGTATTTCTTAGGAAATTAAGAGATTTTCCGTTGTTCATAGCTGTTGTTATTGTCATCTTTTACATTCACCAAAAAAAAATAACTTTTAAAATTAGCAGCGGCCAGGTGTTCTAAACTTCCATGATCTCTATGCCACACCTTCTGGATCAGTCCATGCAGAAATATACGGATATTGCCCTCTTTTGAATAAAAAAAACAAGATAATTCATCAATTTATTTTAAGTTGTCGCCTTTATGCCAAAGCCCATCCTGCAAGAGATGATTTTCCAAGATTGTCACTGTAAATGTTACCATTGTTGTATTCTCCACCCGTTCTAAGAAAAACATCATCTCCCTGGTTAACATGCACCACCACAATACCGGTAACACTGCCACTGATAGTATTAGCTGAGTTTAGATATGTCGACCCAACAAAATTGTTATTGATCAACAATTCTGTTGAGTGATATGAATCTCCATACATTCTGATAGTCCACGTAAACACGTATAGACCAGACCGTGGCGCTATGAAGGTACCCGTATGGGAATGATAGGCATTTCCAGCGTTCGTGATTACGTTATCAAATGCAAGGATGTAGTGCGCGCTTGGAGATGGAACATCCTGTGATAAATACGCATAGAACGCAACAATGTTGTTGAGTGACGCAGTAGTTGTCACAGGATCATGCAATCGCTCTGAAAATGAAATAAATGCAGTAAGTAGAAATTAAAATTTTCTTCAAGTGATATAAATATGATTTAACGTTGGCAGTTTATCGCCGTATTTTACCTTTTCTTATCAAACTTTCTTTGTGTTGCGTGAGGGCATTAGCAAAAAAGGACTTTTCTTCTTGGGAGTTCATCAAATTTTGAAGTCGATCCTTCAGATTTCTGAAGAGTTTTTCTTGGACGTTTTGTCTACTCAGTAAACCGGAAATCTTTTTCATAGTGGTCTTCTCAAGCGTTTTCACATAAAAAATGTCCTTGGAGTGTTTTTTCAAGCGTTCTTCTAAACGCGAGTACTGCTTCTCTAGAATGGAAATCCGTTTATCTTGTTTGCTCTCTCTACTGCGGAGATCGGTAGCAATACGTTTTTCCAAGTTTCTGTTCTGATTCTCTAACTGAGAAATGCGATCACTTTGTGTACAGTCGTCTGGAGTTCCTCTAATTTCTCCATCACCGCCTTCAAGTCTGTATTGGTACTAAATGTTTCCCAACCATGACCATTAATAGGGAGATAGAGGAATTGGACCAGTATAAAAAGAAATAATCCTGTCTGCATTTCAAGTCTAGTCCTGTGTTAAAAGTGCTCACCTCAAATGTGTTATCAATGCGTCTTTAACGACACAGAAAAGAACTGATAAGAGGATAACCTTTTCTAAAAATATTTCATTGAGACTAGTACTGTTTTTTGCATGAATCTATTTTACCACTTGCTTGAAAAGCGGGAGGGTATATAGTAACCGGGATGTCCGTCCATCTGTTACGCTTTGGGGTACCAATCTCTTATCTGCAATCCTGTCATCATGACCACTGAATGAAATTTAGTTAGCTCATTGTTCACAGTTACTCTAGTTTGTTCTATTTTTAATACCTTTCTGGTTCTGCTTCATTTAAATTCAATTTAGTTTATAGCAGTTAATTATTAAATGTTGAATATTTGTTAACATTTATTATGTTATCTTTATTCAAAGCCCTACATGTAATACTTTTCTCATAATGGTTCATGGGAAATTTAGGTGCAACTACTGCATGGTAAAACTCGTTGATCTATTGTAGTGTTTTGTATTAAAGTTCTCAACTGACAGGAAGATTAAGCTGTGTTACAACGCACTTTGAAAATGTTATTAAAGTGTGTTAAATTTGGAACCAAATTAACGCACCTTGAAAAATAAAATTTCTTTTCAAAGTACGTGCTTTAATATCGACCATAATAACGCATTTGACAAATTTTGTGTGGCTTGGTCAATATTCTTGCAAATCTTAGGTATGATAAATAATTGAACCTGTTTGATAACTCTCTGGTGATGATGTCACTTCAGGATGTGAAATTGAGCGATCTTGATTTTTTCCACTTTGAAATTTTACTGAACTTAATTTTTTCCAGTTTGCATGCATTTAATGTAAACTAAAATTTATTGAAAGTTTTTAACGTTATACCAGATATGCAAAATACGTACATATATTTGGGTGTAGCATAGGCATCGGTACCGGGAAGGGGAGACTTAGGCACACAAATGTTTTTCAAAGATATTCTTAATGTAGGCATTGAAATTGGGGCTTACATTGGGGAATCCTCTTTCAATTTGCTACCGACGGCTATGTACAATAAATGTATAAGAAAAAAAAAGAGTTGGGCTGAGAGACCTTCTACTTGTCTTTTCATTGTTCTCATGAGTACATGTAAATTAAATTAAAACTTTTTCGAAAGATATATTAAGTATTAAGAATTGATTCTCTCAATTACTAAAATATAAGTATAGAATTTTTTGTTTAATACATATTTTTTTCAAACTGCGTTACATGTCCCCAATGTAAAAAAAATAATGTAATGGTAAAGATGTTTCTGTACACTCTTAACGCACTTTCAAAAAAAATTTCAAGTGCGTTGAGTGTGTCCCAAATTTAACGCACTTTGAAAAAAATTTCAAAGTTTCAAAGTGCGTTGATTTTGTCCCAATTTAACGCACTTTGAAATTTTTTTTCAAAGTTCGTTGCCACAAAGCTGGCATACTCTCTGTTTTTTGTCTATACCAGTAACGCCACAGAAGCTTCCGGGCATCTAGAAAAAAAAATCCATGTCCTACAAAGGTGTTCTCCTATATTAAAAACAAGCAGAAATGGACGCTATTTTCTCAATAATTTGTTATAAGTAGATTTAAATTTCACATCTTGCAAACCTTTAATGTACATTTTCTGAGGCTCCGACGAAATAGCCGACTCCCATAATGATTTACTTTAACTGTATAGAAAAAAATAGACCATCTTCAAACACTGTTACTGTTCTTGTTTACATGCAGTGCATTTATAAGGTTTGCAATGGAAATGCATGTATTGATTACACAGACTATTATGTAGATGAAATAATCAATTTTGTAAAAGATTTTTTAAAATTTGAATACTAAGTAAATGATCTATAAAATAATTACAATGTATCAGTAGGCAAGATAAATTACAGCTCAAAAACTTTTTAAGCTCACATGGTTTTTCGCACAAATAAGGTCACATTGTTGTAATAAAAAAATACCATTTTCGAACTGCAGTACAATGACATAACCCTACATTATATTACATATATAATGTCAATCATAAATGTCTTTTAAAATTATCATCTTAAGTTTCCAAAGTGGATATTTTAAAGGGGAATTTGAAAATAAATGGTAGGATGTTTCGACTATACGATTCTACCATAGGATTTTACAAATTGTATAAAACGAGCTTTCCTTGATACCATGTAGTTGAACATTTTAAAATTTCTTTTTCAAGGTGAGTATTTTTAAAATATCTTCACTCATTTACTAAACTCCTCTTGGTTTTGTCGAAATATAGCGCCGAAAAGGATTAACATTGCAGATGGAAACGAAATTTGAGGGTAGGATAATGAAGTAAATGAAATAAAACTCAAATCATGTAAACAAATCCTTTTAAAATGCATTTTGTTGTCTCGATACAAAATATTACATCATTACAATGTGACTTTAATTTGTGCGAAAAACCATGTGAGCTTAAAAACTTTGTTGAGCTGTACTAGGTATTCCAAATAGGTGTAATTAGTTCATCAAAATAAATTGATGCATCTTTACGCAAAAAATCAGTGTTTTATAGTGATTTTCAGGGAATCAGCAAAGCATATCGATTTACTTTCATACAGTTCAAAATCAGTTGAGGTTTAATAAAGATTTTTAAAGAATACATTTTTCTCCATCCCAGACAAAAACCATGAACATTAAATTTATTGTCCTCTTGTCCCATAAATTGGCTAAAATTGATTCAACAATCTATGAGTAGAGCAAAAATGTTCAACAGTTTGAGGGATGGTAGTAAATCACATGAGTGACTCTGCTGAGCAATAAATAGAACAGTTTAATAGGATTCTTTACAGTATTTATTTGCAGACTTAATGTAATGTAAATAAAGTGTTTTCCTTTCAAAAATGAAAATAATAAATTACAAAACTAAAGAAGGAAAACTTCCAAGATTCTAACACTATTCTAACACTAATTGCGCACTACGGAATACAAATAATGTGAAATCTGAGGGAAATCTATGAAACTCAAATGTAATATACAAAAAAAAGAGCAGAGCAAACACGGACCTCCGGAACATCAGAGGTGAGATCAGGTGCCATGGAAGAGTGAGCATCCCCTGCCGACAGGTCACACCCGCCTTGTGCTCGTTGTCACGATCAGGAAATAACGGAAAAAATCCGTCGTCAATTCAGTGTATAAATAATGGACTAACAATTGGTATGAAAAACGTCAGTCAGCATTTGACTCAATGATAAATTGTATTTGCTGACAAGGTCATTGTATCGACCATAGAACGTACGAAATGATGACTTTAAACGAGACTGTTGATATTCTTGTTTCATCAACTTGCTTGTCAATAATTTACCTCGTTTAAGAAATTGTTCATACGTAGAGCATGCTCTTGCGTATCGAATCAACTGAGATATATACACTCAGTATGCAGGTGATGAAGGTATATTGCTGCATAAGTAAGGAAGCTGACGATAGAAAAGTTAAAGTCATCACGTTTATCATATAGCTTGGTTGTTAGATTACCATTAGTGTCTTTTTCAAGTAAAATATCCAAGTATGAAGCAGAAGTGTCGGACTCTGTGGTATTTTTATCTCAAGCTCACCAGGATATATCGTATCGACGTAGGAATGGAAATTATCATTATTAATTGACAATAGTCGTCGATATATCTAAATATCGAGTTGAAGGCCACAGCAAGTGTTTTCTTCTTTTCACGCATAAGATTTTGCATAAATTCTGCTTCATATGAATATAAAAATAAGTCTGCTAATAACGGAGCAGAATTTGTACCTAGGTAATTCCAATAGATTGTTGGAATACCTGGTCTCCAAAAACCACATAGATATTGTCCATCAGAAACACAAGTATCTTCTTGATGTCAACTTCAGAGTACTTATGTGTGCAGTCAGAATCTGTTTTTACAAAATAATTTTGCAAATGACCAATGACGAGGTAAGTAAATTTACGAGTTCCATTTTTATTGAAGAAGCAGCTGTCAATGATATCAAAAAGCCCGGATTTTAATTTGTCGTGGGGAATTGTTGTGTATAAAGTTGAAAATTCGTAAGTTTTTAAGCTGTTGATTTTTGTAAAGTCTTGTGATTTCAAATTGTCCAAAAGTTCTTTAGAATTTTTAAGTATCCACATCTGATTTACACCACTTCTTGAATATATAGTTGCAAAGTACTCTTGAGGTTTTTCCTTCACTACTGTCAATATCTTAGTGAGAAGTAACGAAAGAGGCTTGGTTGAACATTTACTGGAACCTGCAATATATCTTTGTTTGTAAGAATTCTTATGAAGTTTTGGAATCCAATATAGATATGGTAATTCAAATTCATTTTGGATGTTTGGGATATTAAAAAAATTCGAAACTGACATATGATTTTGAAGAATTTCTTCCTTAGAAAGAGAATTATGGGTATATGTTGGATGACCACTTGTAGAATTAAATCCAAGTTCTTCTAAAATACAATTTATATACAAACGAAGACAATGTTGTTACCTGTTTTGTCGGCAAAACCAGTACGTATTGATCGTGTAATCTATCTAATTCTTTTTTCACGTCTGGTTTATTGAACAAAGAAGGATAAATGGTTTTCATTTTGCCCCTCAATCTTTTAATACGTGACTTTAACATGGATCTGATACATTTAATCCATTCTGACAAGGTGTCAACGTCTTCTTTTTCATATCTAGCCCATCGTCTGGCGTAATTTTCAACAGAATCCATAATATTTATGAAATTCCGACGCCAGTTGAAGGATCGGGGTTCCCTATATTTAGGACCTTTTAAAATAAGTGATCTAAGGTCCTCATTACGAACTATATTTACGTCACCTGTAATAACGTGTCCAGCACGACTATAGTCATAGGGCGAAGAAGAACTTGAGCACGAAGGGGGATTATTTTTCAGATAGTCGATATCCAGGCCATGTAAAGTGTTTTTGTAATTGAAAAGTTTGGAAGCAATGGTCGATGTATATTTGTAGGAAATACAAGGTGTAGTCTTTAACTTGAAATATGGTGGAATACAAGACTGGACCCTTTTGTGATTAAG